GCCTGTAGTGGTTGCTAAACATATTGAGTATTATAGTAGGCTGAATATTAGCCACCCAAAGATATCAGGTTCTAATACCTGGAGCCTATAAATGTTACCTTATAAGGAAAATGGGTCTTTGCAGCTGTGACTAAGTTAAGGATCTTGAGATGGGGAGACTGTCCTGTATTATCTGAGTGGGCCCTAAATGCAATTACAAGCATCCTTATCAGTATGGGCAGTGGGAGATTTGATATACACAGAAGAGGAGAAAGCAATGTGACCATGAGGCAGAGATTGAAATGATGCAAACACAAGCCAAGGAATGCTGGCAGCCAGCAGAAGCTGGAAGACACAAGGAACAGATTCTCCCCTACGGCCTCCAATGGAGAGAGGCTCTGCTGACACCTTGATTTCAGCCAAGTGAAACTGTTTTGAGCTTTTGGACTTTGGAACTGTGAGACAATAAATATCTATTGTTTTAAGCCATCCAGTTTGTGTTAATTTGTTAGTTGCCACAGTAAACTAATACAATGCTTAATTCAGTAAATCTTCACAACAATCTTAGGAGGTAGGTACTAATATTATCTCCATTTAACAGATAAAGAAGTTGAGGTATGGAGAAACTAGTAATTTATGCAATCCTGGGCTTGAATTCAAATTCAGGTCTTCTAATCTTAGCATGTTTTTTTGTTGTTGTTGTTGCTTGTTTGTTTGTTTACCACCATGTTGCATTAGAAATGAAAAATTAGATACTAAAATTTCTGCTTCTGGAAGAACCAGGACTGGACTAGCCCTCCCACTGTAAACAATAAGGAAACTGGACAAAGCACATGAAATAATAGTTTTCAGGCACTGAATAACAAGCGGTGCAGGACTGTGATCCCTGAGAGAAGGGGAACAAATGAGGCAGCCGTATAATTGCCTGTATTTCTGCCTGGGGACACTTTCCAGCACAAGGTACAGGGAGAGGGAATCCCAAGCAGACTATGGTGGTCTCACTGAGTTGAGGAGATGGAGATAAGTTTGGGGAGGCAGAAGTGGCTGGAATTTGCAGGGCAGAATATGAGACAGGAAGGAACTAAATTAAGAAAGAGTTCTTAATAAACTAAACAATTTCGAGAGTTCACACAGAACTGGAAGACATCTGAATTCCAATCAGATCCTGAGACGCACTAGGTTTGATCTGCTAGGGAACAAAGAAGGGAAGAAGAAAAAATGCTTATGTTAAAAAGGCAAAAGGAAAGAAAAAGAAACATGGATAGAGGGATGGATACGTGATAAAACAAGCAGAGTAAAATGTTAATGGTGAAATCTAGATAGTAGGCATAAATGTGTTCACTGCAAAATTAAAGGGTTAATGAGGGAATATTACAACAAATGTTACACCTATAAACTTCACAACTTACATGAAATAGACAAAGTCCTGAGGAGACACTATGGTGATTTTAAAAGACGTCCACACATTGATTCTTCCTTCAACGGGGAAGTCTAATTCTCCTCCCTTTGTGCATGGGCTTGACCGAGTGTTCTGTTTTAACAACTAGAATATGGCAGAAGTACTAGTATAAAACTCCTGAGGCTAGGTTACAAAAGGCATCATGGTTTCCCCTTTGCCCTCTCTCAGATCACTCACTTGGCAAGAAAGCACGTCTTTAGGACACTTCAACAGCTCCTTGGAGAGGCCCATGTGGTTGGAAATTGAGGCCTCCTGCCAACAACCAACAATAAATTGTGAGTTCCTGAAAACCAGTGAGAAACTGAGGCTGCCGGTCGGAAGCCATGTGAGTGAGTCACCTTGCGTCAGAGCCTCCCGCCCTAGTCAAGCTTTCGTGACTACTGCCTTGTTCATATCTTGAGCCATTTAAGATCCTGAGCCAGAACCCAGCTAAGTGCTCCTGAATTCCTGACCCAGAGACTGTGAGAAAATTAATGCTTAGTTTTAAGCAGTTAAATTTTGAGGTGGTTTATTATGTAGCAATAGATAACAAATACAGTCAACTACCAAAGCTTATGCAAGAAAAACTATACAACCTGAATAGTCCTATATCTATTAAAGAAATTGAATTACTAGTTAAAAACCTTCCAACAAAGAAAACTACAGGCCTAGATGGCTTCACTGTTGGATTCTACCAAACATTTAAGAAAGAATACCAGCTGTTAGTTTGTTGTTCCTTTCAATATCATCTTTAGTTTTTCTTTTCTGGCTGTTTTATGCTTTTTCCATCTTTGCTTATCAGCAGTTTTATAATGATGTGATTTCATGTTGTTTTCTTTTTATCCTGTTTGGGGTTCTTGAATCTGTAGTTTAATGCCTTTTATCAATTTTGTAAAGTTCTGTCATTATCTCTTAAAATATTGCTTATTTTCTTACTCCTTTCCTTCTGGACACTGACTTCCTATGTTAGATGTTACTATATCTTCTATGTATTTTAACTTTTCTGTATTTTCACTATTTGATCTCTTTCTGCATCATTCTGGATATTTTATTCTAACTTGTATTCATTTGCTAATTCTCTCTTCAGCTATGCCTGTTCTATTGTGAAATTCATCCATCAAGATTCTAATTTCAGTCATGGTAACTTTCAGCTCTAGTATTTCCATATTGTTTTTTCTTAATAATTTCCAATTCTTTGCCAAAACTCTCCTAACTTTAGTTTGTGTCTGAAAACTCCCAATATCTGGATGTCCTTCAGATCTGTTTAAATGGAAGTTTCTGCTGGTGTTCAATTACATCTCTTGGTGTGGCTACTTTTTTATTGTGTGACCTACAGTGTACTTGCAAAACCGTTTATAATTTTGAGACCTATTGCATTAATTTTCTATTGCTGCATAACACTATTACAACAAACTTATTGTCTTAAAATAAAACACATTTATTATCTCATAGGTCCTGTGGGTCAGAAGTCTCAGCGCAGCTCAGCTGGGGATTGTTTCAGGGTCTCACAGGCTGCAATCAAGGTGTCAGTCTGAGCTGTGTATCAGCTGAGGCTCCACTGGGGAAGGATTCACTTTCAGGCTCACATGGTTGCAGCATTCAGTTCCTTACAGGCTGCTGGACCAAGTGCCTACTTCTTGTTGTTGGCTAGAGGCCATCCTCAGTTGCTTGCCATGTGGCCCTCTTTAAAGGTCAGTACACAACATAGCAGCTTGCTTCAAAATCAACAAAAGAGTTCCTTAAAAAGATGGGCATTAGAACATTATATAATGTAATCACATATACATAATTATATACATCCCGTCATCTTTGTGGTATCCTATGTTCCCTCCTTCACACACGAACAAAGAATACCAGGATACAGGGATAATGGGGGGCCATCTTAGAGTCTGTCCACCATTCCTAGGATATTAACATTCTCTTGAGATAATTTAGATTTGCTTCTGCCAAGCACCTAGGATCTCTAAAAATCTTAACCTCAATCCAATTTCAGGAAGAGAGTATTCAAAACTGAGCTGCCATCCCTTTGCAGGTATGGATACTTCTGAATCATTCTTACCCCTAACGGGCAAGTCTAATTCCTTTTGGGATTCTGATTCAAAGTAAGGGGAAAAATTTCATCACTGCAGGCCACATACTCCAATGCCTCTTCCCCCATAAATTTGTGATTGTCAAGATAGCCACTCAGCATCTCAAACATCACTTACAGAATTAGCCAACACTTCTAAGGAAAAGCAGCCCACCTACCTAGGTTTCTGTGCTTCCATAGCAATTGTTCATTGTTGTCTGCTCTCTCATGTCTTTAAGCAGATGTTTTAAAATTTTTTCAAGCTATCAGCTTTTTTAGATGTGCTCATTAGAAGATCTGTTGCAAATTACTTGGTCTACCATTATTATAAAAAAAGTCTATGTATTTTTATTTCCATAATTTGTAATGTGTTACTGGCCTCTACATGTTAAGATGATAATCTATAATGATAATAAGAGTAAATGTGTTTAAACATAATCGAACCTAAAAATGTAAAGCAAAACAAAGATTTACTCTTCCAACCTGAAAAAATTAGGAAGTATCACTTTTTTTCCCATTAAATTATATTGAACATTTCTATTTCCAGAGCTTTCCATAATAGGAAAGAAAATCCTAATATTACTACGTAATGGATATATATGCCTAAAACTAGGGAGCCTAGAAATTAGCATAGAATTATAAAACTTTTTAGATCACTTGGTATTTTGCTAATATCCCTATATAAAACAGTCTCTTAAATGTTGAGTATTCCCACAAATTACATATTATATCATTCAATACTGCATTGCCAAGTAGAAATAACACACTGATTAAACCAGCATACTGGAGTTATAATTGTGATGCTGATATAAATTTAAAATATTTCAAGAACATTAATTTGCATTTAATCTCAAAAGGAAAGTCTGAAATTGATGAAAACTTGGGCAATAGATACTGCATCCTTACCTCTAAAATATACTGATTTGGGAGAACATTATATATATTTGGGAGTCTTTTATTCTTATGTGAATAAAGCATCGGGCTTATTTTTAAGATACATAACTATTAGACACGCTTTTGAAATAAATATCTAAGAAAGTAAAATTATGACTACTCTCTCTGAGAATAAATTAAAAAAACATATCATCTATCTATCATGCACCTTTGGTAGAGACCACTAGTTGCACTTACCTCAATTCTGTACTCCTTTTTTCCAATTTTTCCCAGGCATATAACCATCTGGAATAAAAGCTATATTTTTCATCCTTTCTTATAGTTAGGCGGGGGCATTGTGATGACATTGTAACCAATGCAATTTAAATGAGTGTGCAACTCACTGCCTTCCTTCTTGTTGGCCAGAATGTTGATGTGAGGGCTAGAGCTTGAACAACCATCTTGGATCATGAGTTGGAAGCCAAATGCTGGAAGTTGGTAGAGCAACACAGCAGCCTTGAGATACTTACCTCTGGAATTATTAAGTGAGAGGAAAAAAATCTTTATTTTTTATAAGCTACTGGCATTTGGGGTTTTAGTTTTATGCTGCTGCACCTAACTTAACTGATACATTTTAATTGTTGGCATATTACTTGTTTATTAGAAATTGTAAATGAGAAATTACTTCAACACCTGAAGACCAAGCTACAACACAATATTCCATAGGCTCAAGATTTTGAGACATTCTTGAAAGAGTTTTCTGTAAAGTATATCCTCTCCGTGGCATGGCAACATCATTCTTCTTTAAAAAGGTTACTGGACAAAGATCATTTCCACCATCACCTATATAAACAATTTGCGTATAATTCACTCCCTGTTGTAATTGTTTATCTATAAATTCTACCAAAACTACATTTTTGCAAAGATTTTTGGGACACCTATTGCAAGAATGAGCATGGTAATTTTCCACAGTGAGATGACCACTACCATCAAAAGCTGCTGGATTTGTAAACACTTTATCAAACACATCATGAAAATTAGTAGCTTCTAAAACCCAATCTATGAAGACTGAATTTGAATCTGAAATAATGATGCAATCAAATTTATCCTTGTTCTTTCTTATAAAATTTAAAAGCTCCACCATCCCTGCAGTGAAAGGCATTGATGTTACTGTTCTTTTCATTTCATCTTCTCTTACACCTTCATCTCCCAAATACTTGAAGACTCTGCCCATAAATTCTGTCCAAAATCCTTTTTTATAAGAATCTTTTAGTTCAACAGGAAGCTTTTTCTCTGGAGCACATCGTACAATCCAGGTGTCACTGTTGTCATCTATGATTGTATTGTCAAAGTCAAAAACCAGCAAAATTTTCATGGTTCCAGAGACAGATTTGGGTTACCCTGAAATAGAAGAAATATTATTCCCTAAACACTCTGTTTTACATATTTAGCTATTATACTTATTTAGCAAACATTATTGAGTGTTAATCTGCTAAAACATATAAACAAGTTAAAATGATTAAGCATTTTAACACACCATTTAAGCACTTTTTTCTAAGAAGCAAAGTTCATATTTGAATATTTTAAGTGAAGGGAAAACAGAATATCTAGAAAGCATACTCACAGTATTATTGTATTCCTGTGGGAATTGTTCCTTGACCATTCAGAATTAAACTACAGAGCTATCCACTGAGAGAAGTAATGAAACAATCATTCTCTTACAGTCTAATTTAGAAAAGTCTTAAAAGAGTACAGAAAAAAATGTAGGCCAATCATTCTTATTGCTTTTATCAAGCATAGCCAAACCGATTAACTTAAAATATTTACAATAATCTTAATGTTAAATAACAGGTCATGTATAATATTCTCTGTGTACCAAAATTCAGACCAAATTTAACATAAAATGAAATCTTGAAAATTTATATATAATTTTTTAAAAGGTGTTTAGCTTGAAATTAATTTCTAGTGTCAATGCCAATGTTATAACTACATGATTGCTTGATGCGGTACTTGAAATTCTAAACAAATTACTTGAAGTAGAGGTCAATTCAGTTCTTCTAGACTAGTAGTAATTTTTATTAACAATTTTCACACTTACTTATATTTTCTCTAGTTAACTTAGCTCTGGAATGCCATATAATCTGAATATATCTGAGTAATCACATTGCTTATGATGTGACAATTACTTAAATCTCTGTTTACATTAAAAGACAATGAAGCTTATTAAATATAAATTTCATGGACCGGCCGAGTGGCACGTTGGTTAGCGGTTGGCTTGGGACACCAGCTCTGAGCAGCAGGGCCCCGGTTTGGATCCCACATGAGGGCCAGTGACGCTGCGCCTTCTACAGCTAGGATGGTGAACAACAGCTAGACCTGGAGCTGGGCTGCTGTGAGTCACCCACCGGCCATGGCGTAGGCTGCAGTGGGGCTGGCCGGCAATGGGCGTGAGCTTTCGGGAGCTGCCCTGAGCCGCCGTGAGTGGCTGTCCAATGGCCAGCGAGCGACTGCCTCATCAGGGAAGAGTGCAATTATAATACCAACATGGGCCAGTGAAGCGACGTCCTCCACAACTAGACTGAAGAACAAAACAACCATTTGTCTACCTGTCTGTTCCCCTTCCCTGATTCTTCAATGCTGTTCCCCTCCCCCAATTCCCCAATAAAATCTTTAAAAAAAAAAAAGGAAAACATGGCATTTAACCACATATATTCTCTGATTTATAACAATAGACATCCTGTAGGTAAAACTGAAAACAGAGCTCATGACTCATATAAGAGTAAGTATTCGGTATTTATCAGTTTAGAATATCTGAACTTCTGGTCAAGATGACAGAGAAGGTAAACTGTGCTCACCTCCACCTATGATCACATCACAATTAAAACTAAACTATACTGCCGTGAGCAGTGGCCAGCTGACGGCCGGCGACCAACCGCCTCAGCAGGGTACAGCGCAATGCTCATAATACCAGCATGGGCCAGTGAGCTGCGTCCTCCACAACTATTTAGACTGAGAACAACGTCCTGACTTGGAGGTGGCAGGGGAGCAGAGGGAAGGAGGGGAAAAAAACCAAAAAAAGACTAAATTATAGAACAACCATCACTGAGAAACACCTGAAGACTAGCTGAACTAGGCCAGCCGAGAGGCTCAGTTGGTTAAGAGTTAGCTTAAAAGTGCGAGCTCTGAGCAACAGGGCCGCCGGCTGGATTCCCACATGAGCCAGTGATGCTGCACCCCTAGCTGAGCTGCCGTTGAGCTGCCAACAGGTGGCAGGAGGGCTCAACTGGTGAGAGCACTTGCTCCTAACAACAAGGCTGCTGGTTTGAATGCTGGGCTACGCCCACCCGCAACTCAAGACTGAACTTGGCACCTTGAGCTGAGCTGCCGCCTGGGTGGCTCAGGGGATAGAGCACAAACTCTTAACAACAAGGTTGCCAGCTCGACTCCCGCATGGGATGGTGGCTATGCCCACCTGCAACTAATTGAACACAGCACCTTGAGTTGAGTGGTGTGACTGGACTTAGAGCTGAGCTTGCTGCGTCCTCCACAACTAAGATTGAAGGACAACAACTTGGCTGTTCCCCTTCCCCAATTCCCCAATTTGAAAAAAAAAAAAAAAAGACTAGCTGAACAGTTAGATTCCTATAACTAAGGATATAAAGAAGAAACTACACTGAGATGGGTAGGAAGGGTGGAGACACAAAACAGGCAGGTCTCATACCCATAGTATGGAGATTAAGAAACAGGAATATCTGAACTGTGGAGGTCCCCCCTGAGGAAAGAGGGGTCCCAGCCCCACAGCAGGCTCCTCAGCCCAGGGCAAACTGTGAAAACCAGCAAAGCTGGCATCTGAGAAAAACAAAGGGCTACTAGACACCAAGGTGCTGTTCTTAAAGGGCCCACACACAGACTCACTCACCTACAAACTCACTTTCTCTAAGCTCCAGCACAAGCTCAACAGCTTGAAAAGTGCCAGGGACATAGAAGGAGCAACTAAATTGACTAACTGCAGGGTGAGGGCTGAAGGGGCAGGGGTCAGGGCAACTCTGACAGAACTGCTGGTAGACACCCTTTTCCTTATTGAGCTCTTCTTTCACCAATTGGCCTGGCACTGGCAGGTGTCAAATCTGTGCTCTCCATTAACCTGGCTAACACTGTTTGCCCCACTCTGATGATTCCTTGAGAACCAGCCAGCCCCACTCAACTCAGTCACCCAGCCTGAGCCTCTTCCAGCCGCAACTCCACAGGAGTGTCTTGCCTTGGCTCATACTACAGACTCACTCAAAGGACTGCAAACCCCCAAAGAGTGGTGGCTGTCCTAGACTTTGCTGCTGATATTCTCAAAGGTCCGCAAATCCCACACAAGAAGCAGCCGGCCTTGGCATGCATTGTAACTCCTACCTAGGATCCCCAAGCCCAGCACAAGTGGTGACTGGTCTCAATTTGCACTGTAACTCCAATCAGGTGGTCCCAAAACTTGCATAAGCAGCAGCCAGTCTTAGTTTGTAATGTAGCTCCAACTAAATAGCCTCAAGCCTGGCACAAGTGGTAGGTGGCCTTAGCTCACATTGTAGTGCCCACCAAAGGGTCCCACGCCCAGCACAAGTGGCAGCCAGCCTTGGTTCACAGTGTAGCCTCTCCCAAGCACCTCCAAGCCTGGCACAAGTGACAACCAACCACAGATAACTTTGTAGTTCCTACTAAGTGGCCCCAAGCCTGGCATATGCGGCAGCTGACAGTGACTCAACACATCGGGTGGTCAGATTCAGACTGCACCAGTGCCCCACCCAACTAGCTCCACAGATGACACACCCAAAGGGAAGGGTGGATTCAGCTGGTACCAGAGCCCTGCTAAAGTGGCTCCTGCTCTGTGGGGTCAGCCCCCTCACAATAGCTCATCCACTGTAGTCACAGCCAGCCCTCACAGCCAGTCAGCCTGAGGGTCAACCCCACCCACTAACATGCCAGCAGCAATTAAGACACAAATACAACAGGAGAGTACACAACCTATACAGGGGACACTCCTGGAGCACCTGGCTCAAATAACCAGGGAAACTGCATCACTGGGCCCCACAGGACACCATAAGGCCTGTCTGAAAGTTTTCCCTCTAAGATCAGGAACAAGACAAGGATGTCCACTCTCACCACTTTTATTCAACATAGTATTAAAAGTCCTAGCCATAGACAAGAAAAAGAAATAAAAGGTATCCGAACTGGACAGGAAGAAGTAAAACTGTCATTATTTGCAGATGACATGACACTATATAGAAAGAACTCTAAATATCCTACCAAAAAACTATTAGAATAAATGAATTCAGTAAAGTAACAGGATACAAAATTAATATTCAGAAATCAGTTGCATTTTAATACACCATTAATGAAGTATCAGAAGGAGAAATTAGGAAAACAATCTCATTTACAGTTGTATCAAAAAGAATAAAATACCTAGGAATAAATTTAATCAAGGAGGTGAAAAACCTGTACTTGAAAAACTGTAAAACACTGAAGAAAGAAATTGAAGAGGATACAAATGAAAGGATATACCATGCTCATGGATAGGAAGAATTAACATTGTAAAAATGTCCATACTACGCAAAGCAATCTACAGATTCAATGCAATCCTAATGAAAATAACATGGCATTTTTCAAAGAACTAGAATAAATAACCCTAAAATTTACACAGAACCACAAAAGATCCTGAACAGCCAAAACAATGCTGAGAAAGAAGAACAAAGTTGGAGGTACCATGCTACCTGATATCAAACTATACTACAAGGTTATAGTAATCAGAACAGCATGATAATGGCATTGAAACAGACACATAGGTCAATCAAACAGAACAGAGAGCCCAGAAATAAATCCATGCCTATATGGTCAATTAATCCATGACAAAGGAGACAAGAATATACAATGGAGTAACAACAGTCTCTTCAATAACAGGTGTCAGGAAAACTGGGTAGATACATATAAAAAAAGAAAATACCACTTTCTTACACCATATACAAAAATAAACACAAAATGTATTAAAGACTTAAATGTAAGACCTGAAACCATAAAAGTCCTAGAAGAAAAGATAGGCAATAAACTCTTTGATATGAGTTTTGGATATGTATCCTCAAGCAAGGGAAACAAAAGAAAAAATAAACAAATGGGACTACATCAAATTAAAAAGTTTTTGCACAGCTAAAGAAACCATCAACAAAACAAAAAGACAAACTACTGAAACTGAATGGGAAAAGATATTTGCCAATGACACATCCAATACGGGATTAATATCCAAAATATATAAGGAACTCATACAACTATAACATAACACCAAAACAACAACAATAACAAACAATCCGATTAAAAAATGGGCAGAGGACCCGAAGAGAGATATCTCCAAAGAGGATATACGGATGGCCAATAGACATATGAAAAGATGCTCAACATAACTAATCATCAGGAAAGTGCAAATTAAAAGCACAATGATATATCATCTCATGCCTGTCAGAATGGCTACCATCAATAAATTAATAAACAAATGTTGGTGAGGATGTGTAGAAAAGAGAACCCTCGCACACTGTTGGTGGGATTTTAAATTGGTACAGCCACTATGGAAAACAGTATGGAGGTTTCTCAATTAAAAATGACCCAGCAATTCCACTTCTGGGTAGAATTTATTTTCTGTTTTAGAAGTCTAACACTAATTCAAAAAGAAGTATGCACCCTTATGTTCATTACAGCATTATTAACAATAGCCAAGATATGTAGGCAATCTAGTGTTCATTGACAAATGAATGGATAACAAAGAAGTGGTACATATATACAATGGAATATTACTCAGCCATAAAAAAGAATGAAATCTTACCATTTGGAACAACATGGCTAGATCTAAAGGGTATTATGCTAAGTGAAATAAATCAGACAAAGACAAATACCATATAATTTCACTGATACATGTAATCTAAAAACCAAAAACAAATGAACAAAATAGAAACAAACTCATAGATACAGAGAATGAACTGATGGTTGCCAGATGAAAGGGAGGTTGGAGAGGCTGGGTGAGAAAGGTGAAAGGGATTAAAAACTACAAATTACCAGTTATAAAAATAGTCAGAGGGATGTAAAGGACAGCATAGGGAATATAGTCAGTAATACAGTAATAACTATGTAAGGTATCAAAGGGGTTGTAGACTTATCAGGGTGATTACTTCATAAGTTGTCTAAATGTCTAACACTGTGGTACACCTGAAATTAATATAATATTGCATATTAACTGTAATTTAAAAATCAAATAAAAAAAGAAGACTATCTGGAGAATAACTAACCTAGAGGGGTATCTCCTGTGGTATGAATTTAGACGGTATATAATATTCTGATACTGTGGATCCTTGTATCTCTAAATGCCTAATCTAGGTGTCTGACTAGCTCCCATAGATTGAAATGTAGAATTCACGTTCCTACAGAAACAATTAATAAGTAGCAATAAGCCATAGTTGAAAATCACATTAGTACTGTACCTAGGTATATTTCAAGTTAAACATGATCTTTAAGCATTCTGAATTTATACATAATTAAAAATTTTTTTCAAATGGAATTCATTGTTGGTTAAAAACTATCTCAGGCCGGCTGAGTGGCTCAGTTGGTTAAGAGTTACCTTAAGAGCACGAGCTCTGAGCAACAGGGCCGCTGGTTTGATTCCCACAAGGGCCAGTGATGCTGTGCCCAAGCTGAGCTGCCACTGAGCTGCCTTTTGGCAGGATGGCTCAGCTGGTGAGAGCACCAGCTCCTAACAACAAGACTGCCTGTTTGATGGTGGGCTATGCCTGCCCACAACTAAGGCTGAACTTGGCACCTTGAGCTGAGCTGCCACCCGGATGGCTCAGTGGATAGAATGTGTGCTCTTAAGAACAAGGCTGCTGGTTCGACTCCGCATGGGATAGTGGCTACTTCCACCTGCACCTAAGATTGTAACACAGCACCTTGAGTTTTGAGGCCACGAGCTACTGACGGGCAGCCAGATGGCGACTGGTGCCCTCTACAACTAAGATTGAAGAACAACAACTTGGCTGGTCCCCCTCCCCAATTCCTCAACACTGTTCCCCTCCCCCAATTCCCCTAATTAAAAACAAACAAACAAAAAAACTATCTCAAGCTTATATTTAATTAGCCACAAATTACTGAAATTCTTGATTAACCTAAAACTGAGATGTATCATAAGTCTGAAGTTAACATAGTTCCACTGCTGACTATTAATTTCTATTTAAAAGTGAAACTTTCTGAATTTCAGATCTTTTTATATTTGCTTTTTTCTCAGCATTCAACATCAAACTTTATTAAATATACTTACCCAATTTAGTATTTCCAACACAATTAATCTTACTTCATGGTAAAGCTTTAACAGTCAGCACAATCTTCAGCTTTAAACGCCACTCAGTTTCTAACCAACATTACTCCTACTCCATATGCAGGAAACAAAGTCTTCTGGTTTGGAGCAAAGGAATGGAGATCTCAACTCCTAAAATTAATAAAAGTATTTAAGATATTTTTAAATTTATATTTTCTAATGATGCTATTTCTCTTACATCAATCAGAAAAGCACCTATTTGGCAATGGAAGAAACAAAATTTTGAGTAAACAGAAACTTTATATACAAAAAAGGGTATGTTATGTAAATATGTTGTTATCCAGTGGATAAAATCACAAATGTTAGTCTGATTATGTTGAGATTTCCAAATTCTATTTTTTTCTTTTTACTTGTTAAATTATAGACAAATATGACATTCTGTTGTCAATAAACATTAAAAGACTTAGTGCTGTACTTGAATAAAAAGTCCCCCAAAATTAAGATGTACACAAAAATTTAGTGTTAAGAATATAAATCCTGGGCTGGCCGAGTGGCGCGTCGGTTAGGAGCCGGCTTGGGACGCCAGCTCTGAGCAGCAAGGCCCCAGTTTGGATCCCACATGAGGGCCAATGACACTGCGCCCTCTACAGCTAAGATGGTGAACGGAGGCTCGACCTGGAGCTGGGCTGCCGTGGGTCACCGGCGACGGCGTGGCCTGCAGCGCCCGCTGCAGTGGGCAGCAATAAGCTACTGTGAGCGGCTGGCAGCCAGTGTGAACTGCCAAGAGCCACCAGGAGCGGCCGTACAATGGCCGGCAGCCGATCTGCCTTGCCCAGGAGGAGCGCAATGATGATGCCAACATGGGCTGGTGAAGCGACGTCCTCAACGGCTGAACTGAAGAACAAAAGGACAGCAACTTGTCTGTTCCCTTTCCCCTGATTCCCCAGGGCTGTTCCCCTGCCCCAATTCCCCAATAAAATCTTTTTAAAAAAGAATATAAATCTATTTTGAAACCAATTTGTTAAAATTCCCAAAATAGTTATTAACTATTCTCTCCAAAAGCATTAGCAGTGTATATTTGTTATACCTGCAATGTTTCCATAATAATAGTCTAATAATAACCTATGTACTTCTAACAATAATGAAAACTAGAAACTAATTAGACATCAAACTGGTATAAGATATGCATGTTAAATAGGTTTGTGATAGCTATATAATAAAATATTTAGCCAATAAAAGCAAAGATGTTCAGTTTAAATTAAGTAAATCACAAAATGGCACAGTATAATGCCATTTAAAAAAATAATAAATGTCTATGTGTACAGTGGTAGGACCATGGGTGGTTCAATTGTAGTGCAATCTTATTTTACATTGATTCTTTTCCTCCAAAATAATTTAGTCTGTTTTAAAGTGTATGCTAATATGCTATCTTCTTAATTTCTCAACGAAGAAAAAACAAAAGGAATGGATGTATTAGAGAGACAAATAACTAACTCTAGATTGACTTGGCTCTAAAAGATCCAGGGGTTAGAGCTAGAACCAGGTGCTGGAAGTCAAATGGTATCAGACAACTATGTCAAATTGGCAAATTCCTGACATCAAATCACATATGATTCAATAGTTTTTGTAACCAATTTAGTCAAAATTCCATAGACTTTTTATTGGAAGGTAATTCTCCATGGGTCTCTAGTGGCTCTGCCTGTCTTACAAGCAAAGCAATCATTGCTCTTTGCTCTGGACTATTGTCTCAAAAATGTATGTATAGAAAATAGCCTTGAAAGGCATGCTCATTGTTCATTATAATAAAGGGCTTCTTAACTTAACCCCATGTGCCGGTGACTTCTGGCCCTCTTTGCATCATCCTGTGGGAACTGGGGCAAAACTGCTGATATTCTGGCTACTGCTGTTAAGTAATTCACCTCTGACCTAGAGGTCTGCATCTTCTACAAAACTGTGGCAAGCTACCTCAAGTTGTTAGCATGCAAGTAGGATAAAATCTCTGACCTTTCCCAGTACTTGACATTTTGAAAACTATGCTTCCAAAAAACCCCACCAATATTGTATGTGCAAAAACTAATTCTTGTCAAATATTTTATCAATATTTTCATACCTACTAGCATTACGGTGGAACCTCTGATAGAACACTTGAAGAAAAACAGAACTATGTGTTAGAAGTTTAGCGATTAAAATTTTTGCTTCCTTTCATTTTGAGCGATTCCAATCGGGTGCCTTATGTGTACATGCTGTAGCTAACTAGCTTGTAATGAAATCATTTGTACTTGGATGTGTTAGAAAAGGATCTTTTGAAACCAAGCCCACATCCACTCTTAACAAATTTTTGTGTCCTTAGAGGTCCCCCACATACATTCAATTTACTATACTGTATTTCCCAAGCAATTTAAAATATCCTAAAGGTCCTAACAGGAATGTTCTAGGACAACATTCAAGTTTTAACATTCCTATGTTTAAAAAAGCTAAGCCCCATCTAGCCCGGATCATGCCTTAGAAACCAAAGTAACCAAAGTATTTAAAAGTAGATTTTCAGTCCGTTAATCCCTGGGTTTCTTAGCTAAGGGAGGGCTTTGCCCTTCACCTTTACCCCCGCGAGGAGGTCTGAGGGCCGCACACACACACCAAGCCTAGGTCCCGCTCTCCCACACACCTGTCAGACTCGCCCCGAAGGTAAGCGCATGGAACTAACTGGGGGGTCATCCCCCGCGAGGCATGCGATGACTAAGAACGAGAACACCAAGCCGGGCTGGATCCCTCGGTCTCTTCACTGGCCCAGGCCGGATGTCCGCAGGCGCCTCAGCCTCCACCCCGCTCCCGCGGCGTCTCCCCGCGCATGTCGGCGGGAGAGTCCCACTCGCACGCCCGGCCTCTGCGTCCCGCGCAGGCGCAGCCTACGTTCTCCAGCCGCGCCCCCCCCACCACGGCCGACTACGGCGTGTCTTTGATCCTCGGCGACAGCAGCCGTCACTTCCGGTGGCGTTGCTAAGCAACTGCGCGTTGTCTGGCACACTCCGCTGGCTAGAGGCTGCGGCACTGTGCTTCGGCGTCTCCTTTGCAAGTCTGGAGCGCCAAGGGCACCTCGTTAGAGATGCTGGTGCGGTTTGGAAGGCGCTGTGGACAGGAGAAAGAAAGCACTGGTGAGCTAAACTGGCCCATCCCGGCACGGGGATTGTCTCAGGCCCCCAGGCATGGGGCGAAAGGCGAGGGTGCCAAGTGACGGTGCTCAGTTCACGTGAAATGGACTCCTTCAAGTTGAAAGTAGCTCCCTGGGCATGGTTGGGTTCTGTGTAAATTAGACAGTTTGCGCTCGGGTGAATTGGGAGGTGGGAAAAGTTTACTTAAATAGGGGTGGAGAAAATATAAGAAGGCTGATCTTATTGACCACCAGATCCGATTCTCAAGCCGAACAGTTGCAGCTCCAAGAATCTGGTGTTTGCTGAGATCTCTTGCACTTAAGCTTTGTTATTTATTGATTGAATTGGAATATCTTTTGGAAATATCAATGACCTCATTAGAGTCTTGGCTCTGATATGAACCTACTGAGGGCTTTTACGAAAGTCTCTGAGAGAAAATGTCTTAATTTCCTCATCTCTAAAGTGAAGGTATGGTCTCACCCTAAAATAAATACTTTGACAGAGTGTAAAATATAATGCTACTTAAGGTGACCTGTTATAATTCAGATGACCTGTTATAAGGTTTTTGGAATAAAAGTAGACTAGTAGGACCTCTAAAGAGCCCTATCAATTCTAACAATTCAAGTTTCTTAAGTCTGTAAATTTCCAATTAACAATCTCATAGTGACAACTGGAACCATGGGAATTTGAACTGTCTTCATGTCAGTGCCTGAGCTTCTGTAGCAATAGAGCCCTTTGTGCCAGATGCAGAGTGAGAGCCAGCCATTCTCAACTGGTCGTATTTATGCAGTGGAGGACTTATGAAGTAGCAACAGAGGGTCATGATATGTAGGAGAGAGACAGGACCCATGTGGCATCTATTGAAAAAAACACAATTACTCCAACATATTTACTTTCCTATGTATGCAATACTACACTAAAAGACTTAGATTTTTACCTCGTAGGTGTTTTGTGGCAATTAGTCCAAAAGTTTCCACCTGAGCCTCACTGCTAAATTGTAATCTCCATTTGGAAGAGGATGAAATAGGAGAGGGGTTCTGATATTTAGACGGTTATCTGTAAAACAAATAATTATCTAAAGATTTAGTGGGATGGTATCAGCCAGAATGGTGGAATAAGGATCTCTGAAAATCCTCTTTCCCATTAAATAAAAAAGAACACTGGCAAAAATAGTCAAAATCAATTTTTTGAGAACTCAGGAAATTAACTAAAGGCTTGCAACAATTGGGGAGTGTTTATCAAGAAAAATAACTGAATCTTGGTAACAATAGTGAGTTTTTTGCATTTTAACTTGCTCTAGTCCCATACTTTTCTCCCAGCTTTATGGTAGTCTAGAAAACTACTGCAATCACAGTGAAATCTGTGGTTTAGCAACCTGTGGATGCAGAACAGGGTTGGATCCCCTCCAAAGCCCATTTTTCCAGATAGCTGTTATTTGACCTGTCTGGTAGTTCCTTGGAAAAGCCCACTCGTGAGACATGTATTTGACCCAACTCAGAGCTCACCTTGTATGTTTGCTAAAGCAATCAGTGGCATTGTTTTTGCCATCACAGCTGCCTGGCAGTGATAACAGTTGGATCCAAACAACAGGGTCACCGAAAATCTTAAAAGGAATACCTGGGAAATGAGATGCCCATAGGGGATTTTGAAAAGCTCCCTTTTATTCTTGGGAATCAGAAAGTCAAATGCATGCATAGGGCTAGAACATGTCCAGGAAAAACCTGAGAATGCCTGAAGTTTTCACCTCTGGCTGACTTTGAGTCTTTATGCAAGAAAGAAGTAAAGGCTAACACAGAGTTGTAAACTACCTGCCTGAGCATTGAAGTCATGCTCCTCCACGCACAGAGAATTCCTTGGAAAGGCTCAGAGACATAATGAAATTTAAGGAAACTGTCCAATCTAAGCTAACCAAGCTGAAATTCCAATAACCACATTCAACAGAGAATACAGACTTTACAGATTTAGTTCAGGAAAATCTAATAAACAGCAACAACAACAAACTTTGGATGTGGGAAGAATCTCATTCTAGAGTTGCCACATATTATTTAAAATGTACAGTCTTCAACAAAAATGACAAGGCATGCAAACAAATAAGAAAGTATGGCCCAAAAAAGTTAAAAAAAAAGTGTTCCTGAGGAAGCCTAGATGTTAAATTTACTAAACAATTTACTGTTGTAAATTTACAACTATTATAACTATGTTCAAACAACTAAAAAAATTGTCAAAGGAACTACAGGAAAGTATTAATAATGCCCTCTCACTAAATAGAGCATATCAATAAAGAGGTAGAAATTATAAAAAAGGAACTAAATATTGGGTTGTTGGAAAAGTCATGATGCATGTTTGCGACAGATGGCACTAGTTCATTTTTGGAAGTACTAGAGTCATTCACATCTATGTTATTGCTATGTCATTTGACAACTGACAGTTCTAGCTTCATTCTACAAAAAAAATTGGGCGATTTGGTTGAGTTTTCGAGATTTTACAAGTTGAAGATGGAAGACCAAACTGCATTTTTGCCATATTTTACTGTTTTACTTCCATAAAGGGAAGAACGCGTGTCAAGCTTGTGAAAAGTTGCATAAAGTTTACAGTGACAATGCTGTATAAAAACATCAGTGCCAATGATGGTTCATGAAGTTCCGTGCTGATGATGTTGATCTCAACGACGCTCCTCGGTCAGAGAGGCCCACCGAGGTTGATGACGACAAAATAAAGGCATTGATCGAGTCAAACCTATGTTATATGATACGAGAGATTGCAGAAACATTGAGCATCTATCATTCAAGCACTCACGACCACCTGGAGAAGCTGGGATATGTAAGCAAGCTTGATATTTGGGTTCCACATGAACTCAAAGAAGTTCATTTGATGGCACTTATAAATATGTGCAATATGCTCATTAAACATGAGGAAAACGATTCTTTCTTGAAGCAACTGATAACTGGTGATGAGAAGTGGATTGTTTACAACAATGTGGTGTGCAAACGGTCTTGGTCCCGTTTGATGTGATGATTCGCCTCAAACGACATTGAAAGCAGACATTCATCAGAGGATGGTTATGCTCTCAGTGTGGTGGGATTTTAAAGGTGTCGTGTTTTTCGAGCTCCTACCATGGAACCAAACAATTAGTTTGAATGTGTACTGTCGGCAATTGGACAGTTTGAATGAATCCATCATCCAGAAACGTCCAGAGTTTGTTAATTTAAAGGAGTTGTGTTCCATCGTGACAACGCGAGACCACACACAAGTTTGATCAGCCGTCAAAAATTATTGGAGCTTGGAGGGATGTGTTGGCACACCCACCGTACTCTCCTGACCTTACGCAATCAGACTTCCCCTTGTTTCGCTCTCTTCAAAACTTCGTGTGATATAGCGTTCAATTCAGATGAGGCTGTAAATCAACACCTTGTTCAGTTTTCGCAAATAAAGACAGGTCCTTCTATGAACGAGGAATTATGAAGCTCACTGAAAGGTGGCAAAAGGTTATCGAACAAAACGGGCAATATATCATTGATTCATCTTTGTTCTTTATATAAATAAATGACCTTTGAAAATCATAGACAAAATATGTCATGACTTTCCTGACAACCCAATAGATATTTTGGAGTTGACAAGCCCAATAATTGAAATGATAAATTCACTAGCAGAGCTGAGTTTGCAAAAGATAGAATCAGTGAACTTGAAGGTAAGTCAATTGAAATTACCCAGTCTGAAGAACAGAAAGCAAAAACAATAAATAAAAATGAGATGATCCTCACAGAAATGTAAGACACTAGCAAGTTTACTAACATACATATCATTTGAGTCCTTTTAGAAGGAAAGGGTAGAAGAAAATATTTGAGTAATGGACAAAAACTCCCTAAATTTGATGAAAAACATTAACCTACACACTCAGAAAGCTCACTGATCCTCTAAATAGGGTAAACTCAAATCCACAACCAGACACATCATGATCAAACTGTCAAAAGCCAAAGACAGAGGAAATCTTGAAGGCAGCCTGAAAGAAACAATTCATCACATAGAAGTGAGCCTCACTAAGATTAGCAGGTGATTTCTCATGAGAAACTCCTAAGGCTAGAAGACAGCAGGTTGATGTGTTCATCTTTCAAAATTTATGGAGGAATTAAGATATTTCTAGGTAAACAAAAGCTGAGCAAATTCATTGCGAGCAGACATACCCTACAAAATATACTAAAAGGAGTCCTTTGGATTGAAATGAAAAGGCACTAGACAATAACCCAAATACACATAAAGAAATAAAGAGCACCAATAAATATAACAAAATAATTCAATATAAAAGACAGTATAAAATTATTATTTGAAACAATTTCCAGATATTATGACAATATAAAAAGTGTCAGAAAAAATACCACTTGACTTTTCTTGAAAGTCTTTAATATTCATTTTTTTTAACTTTATTAGAAATAAAGAACTCTGAAGATCAAGTACTCTATCCACCTCTTCTACCTACTAAAGAAGATCTCCGGCAGGTCACCATAATACCACACAATGAGTGGGAAAGGATTGTAGATAGCCTTGATGATTTGACAAGAAAAGCTGCATGCCTTCGTGCAGAAAGAAAGGCCAAGAAAGAAATGCATTTCAGATCCCAAGAAGTGGCAAAACATTGGACTAATACATACGCAGTAAGTGTTAACCACCCAGGAGTACACATGCACTGAACACTTAACCTTCTTTCTTAGTATTCTTATAAATATTTTTATATGTAAAATATAAATATGCATTAAACACATTTTCAACAGGTTTATTTGGGTATAAGTGACATACAGTAAACTGGACATATTTAAAGTGTACAGTTTGATAAGTTTTGACATACTTATACACCCCTGAAACCACCATCATAATTCAGATAATGAACGTATTCGTCACCCCAAAAATGTTTCCGCATACCCTATTTTACTCCCTCTCACTCTTCTCTGCCCCTCCTCTCCTGTCTCTAGGGAACCACTAATCTGCTTTCTATTATTAATTTCACTCAGCACAATTATTTTTAAATTCTTTCATGTTGTTGTGTATATCAGTTATTCATTTGTTATTATTCTGAGTGGTATTCCATTGTATGGATATGACACAATTTGTTTATCTGTTCCATTTTTGGTTTGTTTGACATCAACCAAATGTTGATATTTGAGTTGTTTTCAGTTTTTGGCTACCATAAATAAAGCTGCTTTTGGACATTCATGTGTAAGTCTATGTATGGACATATGCTTTCATTTCTAAAAAACCCCTGGTCCCAAAAGGGATAGAGGAGTAGAATATATCCCCTAATTTTTTTACACAGAAGTAGCTCACTATACGTAATACTTTACACTTCCATGGGTGCTAAAGAAGAACAACAAATGTAGTAAATGTAGTAATAAAAACTGCAATAGAGGCACAGAGATTGACAAAATAATAGATCAGAAGACAGAGCCTTGAAACAATCTCATGTTACATATAAGAACTTGACATATGACAGAAATGTCATTGCAAATCAGAAGGGAAAGGATAGGAATTCAATAACTGATACTGAGATAATTGGCATATAAAAAAGATAACATTATATCCCCATGATATAGAATACACAAAAATGAATTTCAATTGGATTAAAGACCTAAATGTGAAAAGCAAAACAATAAAACTTTAAAAATAAATCATAGAATATCTTCAGGATTTCAGGGTAAAGTTTTTCTTAAGATATAGAAAGTAGACTCCTCAGATGTGAAAAGAGCATGTAAAATATGCCACTGTTGATTTTTTAAAGGAACAAAAGTATTAATATATATTTACTGTGTAAATATGTAAAGGAACTTTGGAATTAGACATAAGAAACTAGTAGTGGTTATCTTAGAGACTCAAGATAGAGGTTAGGGTTGGAGGGAGAGGTTCACTGTATACCTTCATAATATTTTGGGCGTTTTGAACCATGTAAATGTTTGAAACATGTAGTATATGTAAATACTATAAAGACTCATAATGAAGACTCAAATTATCACGTTATAATGTTAAATTTTGTAAATTAAAAAATGAAAACAGAAAACTGCATTTGTCTTTTTGCAGGGGATGAGACAACAGAAACTTGAAGCCAAAAAGAAGCGTGATGAAGAAATAGAGGCAGAAAGACAAATCCTTGATTTGGAAGAAGAAATATATAAACAAGGGGAAAGAAAAAAGGCCATTGAATATGCAAAGCAATTTCAATTTTATCAGACAGAAAGAGTGAAAAACTTTCATGTACTACTTGATTGTCTTATAGTTCTTTATTTATATATATATATATTTTTTTTTTTTTTTAACATATCTATACATAGTTAAACTTTATTTTCTGAAATACTGAATTTTTTTTTTTGTAGTCAGGACTACTTCTTACTAGAGTTATGAAAGAACGTGATGCACAGATTGAATCCCAAAAGAACAAAATAAAATCAGATAAAAAATGGGAGGAACAATTGAAACTCAACATTGAAAAAGCTTTTAATGAAGAACAAGAAAAAGCAGAAAAACGACGCAGAGATAGAGTGGCTCTTGCCAATGATCATTTAAAACAGTATGTATACATAAACTACCTTTTTTGAACCTTCCTCTTTTTCTCATAATGAATATAGCTTTTTTTTCTGATTATAAAAGTAATGCATGCTAAAATACCTAGTAAGTAGAAAAAATACAAAGAAAGAGGTTACAAATCACTATTACATCACTATTACTCCCTTGTCCAGAGGTAATGTGTTGGTTATCCTTGTCACAATAATGCTGCCTAACAAACATCCACACAATCTAGCGGCATTCAACAATAAACATTTATTTCTCATGTATCTGTGGTTGGTTGGGCTTGGCTGGGCAGCTTTTGTTGAAACTGCAGAACTGGTAGGGTTTGCTTTTTGTGGGGAGGGCTCTCATCTGCTCCATGTGTTATTCATTCTGAGGTCCAGGATGAAGAAACAGCAGCCATATGAGGGAAACTTTCCTTATGCTATCGACAGAGATGCAAGAGAATGAGCTCAAGTTTGCAAGAACATAGCTAAACCTAAAGTCAAGGTCAAGGAACTCACTTGGCTTCCCATGAGTCTAAAGCAAGTCACATGGCCAAGCCTAGTAACAGTGGAACAGAGACTTAGACTCCCATGGAAATGGGGAGTGAGAGAGTGAGCCTTTTTGAACAGTAATCTAATCCACCACAATAATCTGTTATTGTTTTAGTATATAGCCATATGGACTTTTTTTGTTGTTGTTGTTGTTGGCATCATTTTTTTTTCACTGTGAAATACACATTTTTAAAAATTAGATTCAGCTGTACAACACAGTGCAATAGTTATACTTTTTACCCCTCAAAGTGCATACGGACTTTTTTGATGGTGGTGGTAGAAGGGGTCAGATTCATTGAGATATAATTTACAGTTAATAAAATTCACCTTTTAAAAAGAACAGAGTTGGGCTGGCTGAATGGCTCAGTTGGTTAAGAGCACGAACTCTGAGCAACAGGTCGCCGGTTCGATTCCCACATGGGCCAGTGAGCTGCGCCCGAGCTGAGCTGCCGCTGAGCTGCCAACAGGTGGCAGGATGGCTCAGCTGGTGAGAGCACAAGCTCCTAACAATAAGGTTGCTGGTTCGACTCTTGCATGGGATGGTGGGCTACAACTACCTGCAACTAAGATTGAACATGGCACCTTGAGCTGAGCTGCCCTGAGCTGCCCATGGGTGGCCCAATGGCTTAGTGGTTAGAGTGTGCACTCTTAGCAACAAGGTTTCTGGTTTGACTCCTGCATGGGATGGTGGCTACGCAACTAAGATTGAACACGGCACCTTGAGCTGAGCAGCCACAAGGATAGTGACTGGACTTGGAGCTGAGCTAGCTGTGCCCTCCACAACTAAGATTGAAGGACAATAACTTGGCTGTTTCCCTTTCCCAATTCCCCAATAAAATAAAATAAAAAATAATAATAATAGTAATAAAATATACAGCTGTATAACCACCCCCAAATTAGGATATAAAATATTTCTATCACCCCAGAAATTTCCCTCATGCCCGTTTGCACCAAGTTCTATCTTCCACCCTCAACTTGTGGCAACCATTGATCTACTGACACAGACTTTTTTTCTGAAAAATAATATATACATTAAAATTTATATATATAAATTTATATATTAAAATTGGATCAGCAGTATCATTAAATTTTTTTTCACTCACTAGTATGTCATGAGCTCTTGCCATATTAGTAAACAGAAATCACACCTAATCTTTTTTTAAAAGTAGTTACTACGTATGGAGGGGATTGTATTTGTGTATAATTGTGTACTTACTTTTCTGAATAGCTGATGATATATGCCAATAGGAAAAGGCACAAAGGGGATTCAGTGAAAAATCTCTTCCTTGTCCACCAGCCACCTTGTGTCTCCAGTGTGAGACTTACCAGTTTCTTTACAGTGTAGTTTAAATGTGCATAAATTATATAAATTTATCAAAAAATTTTAAACAATATTCTATTGGTAGACATTTTTGCCATTTTTTAAAGAAAAAATTATTTTTGTAGTTAATTGTGTCATCAACACATGATCATTATAGAACTGCAAAATACAATTAAAGTAAATGAAAAAAAAAATCACCAGAAAATCTGTGATCCAAAGTTAACATTTGGGTGTATATCTACTCTTCAAAATTAATTTTTTTATTTTGAAAATAATAAATGAATATGTACTTATTGTTTAAAATTCAAGCAATACAGCAAAATTTGGAATACAATTTAGAAACTCTTCATATCCACTCTATTCAATCTCTGTCTCTCTAAATCCCATTTTCCTCTTCCCAAATAGCTATTATAAAAAGTTTTGTTTTATTGAAGTTACTAATGTTTATATATAGGACATATTTAAGTATGTGTATATTTTAAACATGGATGTTACACAATATATTTTTCTGTGCCTTCGTTTTTTTCACCAATGTATCTTGAATATATATTTATGCCAGAATATATGAATATGCCACATCTGTTAAAATAATCATATTGTATACTAAAAATGTACCATCATTTATATAAGTATATTGAGAAAAATTTGGATTTTTACCTCCCCCCATGATTTCTGACAATGCTGCAGTGAACATCCTTAAACATATCTTTTGTAACTATTATGCGAAGATGTATTTATATAGAACAGATTTCTTGAAATGGACTTGGATTTTACATTTGGAGAGACACTACCAAATTGCCTTTTGAGAGGGCTTTAAGTGTGCATTCATCAATGATGTCTGATAGCCTTTTCTTTTTTTCTTTTTTTTAGATTTTTTATTGGGGAATTGGGGGAGGGGAACAGCAATGGGGAATCGGGGAAGGGGAACAGACAAGTTGCTGTCCTTTTGTTCTTCAGTCTAGTTGTGGAGGACGTCGCTTCACTGGCCCATGTTGGTATTATCATTATGCTCTTCCCAGGTGAGGCAGTCACTCGCTGACCACTGGAGGGCTGCTTATGGCGGCTCACGGCGACTCTTGGCAGCTCATGCTGGCTGCTGGCCACTCACGCTGGCTGCCCGCCACTCACAGTAGCTTATGGTAGCCCACTGCAGCTGGGGCTGCAGCCTACGCCATCACCTGCGACTCATGGCAGCCCAGCTCCAGGTCGAGCTGTTGTTCACCATCTTAGCTGTAGAGGGCGCAGCATCACTGGCCCTCATGTGGGATCCGAACTGGGGCCCTGCTGCTCAGAGCTGGCGTCCCAAGCCAACTCTTAATCAACACGCCACTCAGCTGGCCCAACAGCGACTTTTTTCTTTGTTCTTTCTAAAGAGAGTGACTGACTCCAAAGCCGCTGACTTTGTAGAGATGAACCAGCTAGGAATCTCCTGTCCTAAACTGATTTAATAATACCCTAGGGTATTAGTCATTCAGTTAACTGTTTTTTTCTAAAGGAAAGCAACATTTGAATCTAGTGTAGGACTTAATTTTGGTGAGGAATAAAACAAATTTCAAAGAAAGGAAAATATTTGCAATTCTGGGTTAGCCCCAATTGGATTTGCTTTTAATCACTGCTTTCTATATATCTGTTCTTGTTCCCCATTCCACCTCAAATCCACAAGTTTTCCCTCATAGCTTCAAATCATCCCAGGTTAGAATCTAATTCATTTCTTTAAAATGTAACCTATTCTTCTCCTTTGCTTTCAATTATAATTATGTTTTTACTTTAGAATAAAGAAACATGAAGAGGAAGAAGAAAGAAGGAGAAAACAGGAAGAAAAGGATGCTGAGGAAATAAAGAGACAGAATTCATTATATGAAATAGAAATGAGAAAAAAACTAGAAAAGAAAAAAGAAGAGATAAATGAAAACAGGAGACATTTTTTTGTAAGTTGAAAATAACAGCATCTTTTCAAAATATGTACAAAGTCCAATGCCTAACTTTTAATATATTTTATTAAATAATAGTGGAGTAGAGAACAAGTTGCTATTAAGTTGGGTTTCTAAGTATACTTTTGGGGGAGCTATATTTGGTATGTTTTATGTGGATGTGCTGTCATGCATGAACAATAAATAGAGAAGAGAATGAGATTTTTTTTCAAATGATTTTATTTTCTTATCCTTAAAATGAAAGTTATTGTGGGGAATGAATGGGATGATACATGTTTGGTGTCCACTGCACTATTAACATGTGCTCAATAAATGGCCATTGTTTTATGGCTGTTGCAATTTTATTTTGTAATTTTTTATATTGTTTTCTTTAAAATTAGTTTTTATTCTTAAGTAATGCATGCAGAGTTAAAACATCAAACAATACCAAAAGGCTTAAAAGAAGAGTGGCAGTTCTTCGCTTCACCTCTTCTGCTCCTTGGAGGAAACCACTTTCAAGTTATTTTAGCTGTATCTTCTGGCATAAAATTATATTTTAAATAATCTATATATTTTAAATATATATATTTAGTTCTAAAGATATGTACCTTGACTTTTCAATTTTAGACATTTTCTGTCTCTGTGCCCTGGTAGTTGAGGATTTTAGCTCAACTGAGACAGCTTCTCTTTTTTTGCTTTGCTATTCTTGGAATATAGATGCCTTCTGTCATCAAGGTTGCCATCATGACTCTGAATGGTTGCTGGAGCTCTCACCCTCATGTCCACATTCAAGGCAGCAAGAAGGAAGAAAGGATGAAGGACAAAAAAGAGTGCCCTATCTGTTCTCCTTTTAAGGAATGTTTCCAGAAGACCCACTTGACAATTTCCATTAAATCTCATTGGTCATAATTTAGTCACACCTAGCTGAAAAGAAAGCTTGGAAATACAGTCTTTTAGCTGAGCATATTGCTATTCTGAACAAAATCGATGTCCTGTTACTAATGCAGAAGAATGTTGGGTAGGCAGTGAATTGTTCCTGCCATTTTTGTTTTTTGTTAGATCTTGAGAGTTACCTCAACTTTGTCTTCAAGACTTATATTAGGGCCGGCCGAGTGGCTCAGTTGGTTAAGAGCTCGCTCAAGAGTTTGAGCTCTGAGCAACAGCGGTTCGAGTCCAGCCCGAGGTGAGCAGCCAACAGGTTAGCAGGATGGCTCAGAAAAAAAAAAAAAAGACTTATATTGAATTTTTAATTTTAGCTCTCAAAATTTTAATTTCTAAGAGTTTTATGTGTAATCTTATTGTTGTTTTTGCACAAAATCTTATCCTTGCTTCATGGATGCAATATTTTTATCTCTCCTAGTCACTTTGGAATGGGACAGACCTTGTTTTGAATGCCAGCTCTGCTACTTACTAGCTATGTGACCTTAAGCTGAAGCTTTCAATTTTTAAAAATGAGAATTAACTTTATATTAATTAACTCTATACTTTCCTTATAAAAAATCTATATAAACATTGCAATAAACTTAGGAAAAAACAGCAAAGCAAAACTTTTAGGAAATCATTCAAAACAGTCACTTTTAACATTTTGGTCTTTTTATTAGCTTTTCATGTTGACTAATGCATCTCCTTAACCAGAAGACAGGCTTTTAAAAGTAACATCCTAAAATAGAAGAGTAATTAAGAGGTCTAGGCACATAATAGACCCTGAGTTATAAATACCGGGGGTGCCAAAAAAAGTATACAAATGGACACTTTGGTCAACGTTGCTCAAGCAGTAGTTCACTGTAATCAGAAGTGTCTGGACGCTGTTTGATGGTAATCACTTTGAGCACCTGTTGTAATTGCAGAAGTCAAATGTGACTTGTAGTCATCTTTTGTTATCAGTATATGTTGAGTATTACAATTTTAATACAGTTTTCCTTTCTTAAAATGTGTATACATTTTTTGGCACCCTCTGTATATTAAAGATTAAATGTTGCATCTAATAACTTTCACATTAAATTGGTTTCTATGTATAGTAACAGAATACATTAATATAGCTGTATATCCAGGCTATTGTTTTCAAAGGCATCTATTTTTATGATGGCTAACTCAGATTGGGTCATGGAATGTATGCTAATATGAACAGATTTTTATTTTTTGTTTTTAAAAATAATGACCTATTTTTAAATTTTTTGTTAGAATATACATCTGTGTATTTTCTTGTATGTGCAAAAAGAAAATCTGGACTAGGAACTAGTTTTACAGTGATTAAGTCTGGTGGCGTGAATTAAGAATAGGCAGATAGTGGATAGATACACTTTATACTGTGTGTCTTTTACATATTTTTAATGTTTGTGCCATGTGACTCAACAACTATTTAAACATTAAATGAAAATTGTATATATTTAATGTTTTTTCTGATTACATAATTATTTTAATTGAATATTTTAAAAAAATGAGATGTTTGAAAAGAAATACAGAAAAGCATTAAGAAGATGTAAAAGTCACTTATAATCTCATACCAGAGAGATAACTACTGTTAACATTTGATACTTTTCTTCCAATTATATATACATTATAAACTTGCACTTATATTTGCAAAACTAAAATATGCTATGTAGTGATTTGTATTCTGCTTTTCCTCCCTACTTACCAATTATTTGTATCCTCATGTAACTGAGAATATAATTTATTTAACCATTTCTCCATTATTGAATATTTAGAGGTTGTTTCCATCTTGTTCCAACATTATAAACAACTTTGAGATGAAGTACATGGTACATAAAACCAGATGCACATTTCTGATGATCTTCTTGGGATAAATTTCTGAGAAATAACTGGGTCAGAAGCTGTGCCCATTTGACAGGTTCTTATTAGATGTTCATATGTTGAGAAATATTTTTCTTCATGATAGGATAATACACAATTTTTTTCTCCAAGGAACATATGAATGATAAAAATATCATCAAAGCTGTAGAACAGCAGCGGCAAGAGGAGGAAGATGAAAAGATGAGAAAATTTATCAAAGCAAAAAAGCGCATTACACAAATGATGAAAGAAAAAGAAGCTGAAACACGCAGGTAAGCCTTTAAAATAATTTACGTAATTAATAATGTACTATCTGGAATTATTGAATCATAAGTCAGAAGTTGTGATATGAGAGTAGCCTTTAGAAATAAAGGTCTCATTATTTTACATGTGACTAGGGCTTTTAGTGACATGATAATTTCAGTTGGGGGCTTGTGAGTTGGGTTTCCCTTGGAATATCAAGGACATCTGTCTAGGAGATGGTTGGAAATACTGGAAATTTCTGCTCCAGGAGAAGGGTATGAGTGGCAGATTGCTTTGAGCCATTGATATATAAGTGGTAGTTAGGGCTGTGGATGCAGGAGTAGGTAACAAAGGAAGGTGGCATAGTCCCTAGGGAAGTCCATATTTAAGGGTCAAATAGAGAAAGAAGATAATGTGAAGACCAAAGAATAGTTTCTAGACTGGAGGAAAACCAGAGAAACAGCAAGGGAGGAGAGTTTCAGTAAGAAGAGTGTGGTGATCAGAGTTAGATCAATAGAGGGATTCAATGAGATTTTCAAAACGAAGCGCTCATCATCTTTAGAGGTCATTGCTTACCCTGGTGAGCAGCTTGGAATGAGGTGAGAGAGGAGAGTAGGAGTCTAGTTACAGTACTCATGTTTCTGTCTAGATAATGCCTTAACCTTGAGCAAAATCCTGTGATGGCTTTACATCACACTTAAGAGTCTTGACTACAGCCCATGAGGCTCTACACCCATCCTAATTCCCAACTGCCCCAGCCTCATCTCTCAGACCTCATCTCTTACTGTTCTCTCCTTCTTTTGTTCTTCACCACCCGCACTGGACTTTCCCTGCACCCTCTCTGCGGAATGCTTACCTCCCTTAACTCCTTCAGATCATTACCGAAATAGTGCCTTCTCACTGAGGCCTTCCCTGACTACCTTATTTCAAATTACAACCCCACCCTCTACATTGCTATTCCTTTGACTGCTTCCTTTTTCCTCATTGCATGATATAACACTGTTTTAGTTATTTGTTTTGTTTCCTGTCCCCCTACCTCAGCTATAATGAAAGCTCCATGAGGGCAGAGATTTTTAATCTTTTTGTTTATTATTATGTCTCCAGTATCTGGAATAGAGCCTGGCACATAGTAGGCAATGTTTAAAATATTATTATTGTTTTTGTTTTTGTTTTTGTTTTTAAAACATCACCAACAGGTTTTATTTGTCACTGTGAAAAGTCTGAATTTCAAACAGATTCTTGGACTGGGGGCTCATATCCATCAGCTCATTCCACTTGAGCGCCTGTCTCATCCCCAGTAGCTTTTCCAGAACCGCTACCTTCACCATGAAGCTCCATGAGTTTTCCCAATTCAAATTTGGGCTTCTTCAGCATTTTGACTTTTCTAACAAAGACATCATGGAGCGGATAAATAGATTGGCAAGCCTTTTCTATGTCTTTTCCAATGCTATCTGGAATCAATTTATTGACCACTTCTTTCAAGTCCTTTGTCTGCACCTCTCGGGTCATAATTTCCATCATCTTCTTCCGGATTTGGCGGACCTGTTGATGCTGAGCATAAGAGGTCTTCCGAATCTGATTGTTGCGTTTTTTAGTGAAACCAACACAGAAGAGACGAAGCAAATAACCATCGGTAGTCTTGACATCCACATGAGCTTCAGTCATGGTCTGCCATTTTTTGACCATGGAGCACATTTTGTCACGGGTAAGATCCATGCCATGGAAACTAGTCAGGCAGTTTTTGCCCTGAACATCCTCGGTTATGAACTTGAATTTTCTAAATGCAACTTCATCATTCTGCAGATCAGCTAGGCTCACTTTAAAAACATTACCCTTGAGACCATCAGATGCAATTTTGGTTCCTTGAGTTCTCGTGACTAGTGTTTTCCCAATATTTCTTATATTGAACATAGCTGGTGCTTTGACATCATACCAATCTTTCTTAGAAAATGTGTCAACCACTTTTTTCTTGGCTCCCTTCTTGCCGCCTTTCGTAAGGCGCTTATTCTTGCCGACCGCCATGGTGCAGCTCAAAGGGACAAAAAGCTAAAATATTATTTTTGAAGCCTAGATAAAATATTCCCTTTTCCATGAAACCTTTCTCTTTTTTTTTCATTTGTCCATATCATTTTCAAGCTTTTTCATGGCATTTACCACCTTTTGCCTTATAGAGTTATTTGCATAAATGTCTTTTCTCCACTTTAGAGTGTAATATCCTTAGGCATGCACTGTGTCCTTTCTCATCCTTTCTCCCGAGTTGCTTTGCAAATTCACTCAATAACTTAGGAATTTGTCACATCTATATTTAAAAGTATTTTTTGCCAAATTTTCTAAATAAAAATAACCCATTCCTTTAAAAAAATACAGTAGTTCTCCATCAACAGTTTTGTGGCTAGTGAGAGGATGGATTTATTCAGAATTTTGATAACTTTTACTAGACATTTTTGTGATTTTATTTAAAGAAAGGCCTTTGATTTATTTTATATCCTAAGCCTCCTATGTTAGAGTAAGCAGGATAATAAAGTATTTAAAAATATTTTTCATTATGGAGAATTTTAACACTTTATCACATACACATATGTGAGATCATGTTATATGCATTACTCCCTTTGGATTTTAAAAATAGTATTCTAAAATAATAGTATTTGATCTGATAACTGAAATGACCACTAAGTGACTAACAGGTGGGTAGTATATACAGTGTGGACACACTGGACAAACAGATGATTCATGTCCTGGGTAGGACAGAGCAGGACTGAGAGAGATTTCATCACACTACTCAGAATGATGTGCAATTTAAACCTTATGAATTGTTTGTTTCTGGGATTTTTCATTTAATATTTTTGGACCATGGTTGACGATGTAAAACAAACCCACAGATAAGAAGCAACTACTGCATACTTTATTCTAAAATTGAAATATTGGGCCAGCCGAGTGGCGCATTGGTTAAGAGCAGGCTTGGGACGCCAGAGGGCCCTGGTTCAGATCCCACATATGAGGGCCAGTTACACTGCCCTCTACAGTTAAGATGCTGAACAACAGCTCGACCTGAAGCTGGGCTGCCATGAGTCACCGGCGTCAGCAGGTGGGTTACCATGGGCTACCGTGTGTAGCCAGCAGCCAGCGTGAGCAGCCAGCAGCCACTGTGAGCGGCTGTCCAGAAGCCGGTGACTGATCTGCCTCGCCCGGGAAGAGTGCAATGATGGTGCCAACTTGGGCCAGTGAAGCAACGTCCTCCACAACTAGACTGAAGAACAAAAGGACAGCAACTTGTCTGTTCCCCTTTCCCCAATCCCCCAATAAAAATCTTTAAAAACAAACAAACAAACAAACAAAAACCCTTGAGTTCAATAACTTTATGTAATACATTTTTTTTCAAATTCCGGGCCCCAAGATTAAGGTGCGTCTTATATATGGGAACGTCTTATACATAGGGAAATATTGTATACTGGTGCCACAGCCGATCTATTCATGAAGGTTTGACAAGTGATGGTTATTTTGTTATAGGGTAATGGAGGAACATAGAGAAAGAATAAATAACTTCCTAACTGGACTAATGAAAGAGAAACTTGACAATGAAGATTTGATTATTGCTAGAGATATTGCAGAAGCAGAGGCTGAATGGAAAAAAAGAGAACAAGAGAAATATGAAAAAAACAAAGCAGAATTAAAAGCAATTGCAGAACATAGAGGCATTGTGGTAAGCAATTCAATTATGACAAATAAAAATTAAAAAACAAATTTAAGCCCTTTTCACCGTAGCTTTGCACTCCCTCTCTCCCTCTTTGACAAAAAATAGCAGATGTGAAAAACAATGTATGAATTATCTTCCTGTATTCTTTTTTTTTTTTTAAAGATTTTATTGGGGAATTGGGAAGGGGAACAGCCAAATTGCTGTCTTTCAATCTTAGTTGTGGAGGGCGCAGCTAGCTCAGTTCCAAGTCCAGTTGCCATCGGGCCACCCGTCTGCAGCGGGAGTCAAACCAGCAACCTTGTTGTTAGGAGCACATGCTCTCACTAGCTGAGCCATCCTGCCACCTGTTGGCAGCTCAGTGGCAGCTCAGAGCGGGTGCAGCTCACTGGCCCATGTGGGAATCGAACTGGTGACACTGTTGCTCAGAGCTTGCGTTCTTAACCAACTGAGCCACTCAGCCAGCCCATCTTCCTATATTCTTGAAATGAGGTCATATTTATTTTGTAACACAAGATGACATGACAATTACAAATAATGTATTTATAGACACAAAGTAATAATCTTTTGTTTCAGAACCATCTGAAATGCAAAAAAGAGTTATTAATTTATTTTTCTTTTGAATGTTTTTAAGATAAATCAAGTAAAAAACACCCTATTGCATTTCTATTTCTTAGTCCTTCAGAATTTATTTCCTACGTGACTGTCACACATTTAAATTGGTTAGTTTATAAACATTGTATTAATTTTTTACCTACAGATATTTCCCTACCTTGAGAAGATACTCCTTTTCTGTTCCTGTATTTCCTTTTTAATATCATTCTATTTAAGTTTTCCTTGTGTGTCCTGATATTCGGAAAACAGAATAAAACCAAAGTAAACTGTGCAGATGGAATCAACCCAGGTGCCTACAGTTTTTGGCCCCTGCATTGCTCTTGGCTGAGTTTCTGCTTGGAGCTTTCTGAGTCTGTCCCTTTTTAGAAAGCATTGGTTGTTAAAAATTCTTTTAATGTTTTCCTTTGCCTTTGAACACTAGATGAAAAATAAAGAGGAAGAAGAAAGACAAAGAAAAATAGAGGCTAAAGAACAATTGCTGGCTGTCATGAAAGCGGATCAGTTTTTCAGGGAGCATGAAAGGGAGAAAAAACGCAAAGCTGATAAAGAACATCGAGATGTTCAAGATGCCCATATTCGGCAAATGGTAATTATTCCTACATGTTTATACTTATTTTAGGAATAAATATGTAGTATAGTAATTCTAATTTTCTGTTTCCCACGCAGTTTCCTTTGTCAAATAAGATCCGATGGTCATTATGGTTATGACACAATAAAATATATAAGAAATGGGAAGAGTTAGTTTCTATTTTTATCTGTGTTGAAGTTCCCATACTAGGTTTATGTCTTTTACACAAATATTTACCTTTCAATAGTGTCTATTGTGCTTTAGAACATATTAAAGAAAATACAAATTCATATGCCTGGCTATGATGCTTATCGCTTTTGTTTTACTTTTCCCCCTTTGTAACTATAACCCAGAGACTGTGTTGATTGGTATCTCTGGTTTCATACTTGAAGTGAGTATGGGTAGTAGGGATTTTAGAATATGTATTGAGGACCTGGCATTCAATCATTTGTGACTGAAGACTGTTTTCCAAAATGGCTGTACCATTTTCTATTTCTACCAGCAACGCATCTGAGGACTCATTGCTCCATTTCCTCACTAACATTTGGTATTGTCATCCTTTGACTTTATTCTAGCATTGTGGTATCTCATGGTGTTACTTTGCATTTCCCTAATGACTAAAGATATTGAACATCTTTTCATGTCCTTTTTAGACATTTGTGTGCCTTCTTTTGTTAAGTGTCTATTCAAATCTTTTGCTAATTATTCAGTTGGGTTGTTTGGTCTCTTATTGTTGAGTTTTAGCTAACTTTTTTAATGTGGTAAAATATATATAATACAAAATTTACCATTTTAACCATTTTAAGTGTACAGTTCAGAGGCATTATGTATTCACATTGATGTGCAACTATCACCACTATCCATATCCATCACTTTTTTTTCATCCTACACTGAAATGCTGTACCCATTAAACAGTACCTCTCCATTCTCCCTTCTTCCCTGCCTCTGGTAACCACTGTTCTACTTTCTGTCTCTGTGAATTTGATTATTCCAGGTACCTCATATTAGCAGAATTATACAATATTTGTCCTTTTGGTCTTTTATGTCACTTGGTATAATATCTTCAAGGTTCATTTGTGTCGCAGCATGTGCCCGAGTACATTTTTTTATTAAGGCTGAATAATATTCCATTGTACATGTATACCACATTTTGTTTATTCACACACCCATCAGTAAAAATTTGGGTTGTTTCCAACTTTTGACTATTGCAAATAATGCTTCTGTGCACATTAGTATACAAATATCTATTCGAATTTCTGTTTTCAATTCTTTTGTTCACATACCCAGAAGTGGAATTGCTGTGTTATATGGTAATTCTATGTTCAATATATTTTTTAGAGCCACCACACTGTTTTCTGCAGCAGCTGTACCTTTTTACATTCCCATGAGCAATGTTCAAGGGTGCCAATTTCTCCAAATCTTAACAAATTGTTGTTTTCTGGGTTTGCAGTTGTTGGTTTTGTTGTTATTTATAATAGCCATCGTAATGGGTTTGAAATGATATCTCACTGTGGTTTTAACTTGTATTTCCCTAATGATTAATAATGTTCAACATCTTTTTATATGCTTATGGCCATCTCTGTTCAGCCTTAATTCTTCCTTTAATATGTTTTATAGCACAGATGGGGTAGCAATAAATTCTTTCAGTTTGTTTTTCTGATAATATCTTTATCTTGTCTTCATTTCATGGGATATAAAATTATTAGATATCATTGTTTTCAGTCCTTTGAATATGTTGTTTCAGTGTCTTCTGGCCTTCATTGTTTATGATTAGAAATCTGCTGTTAATCATATTGTTGGTCCCTAAATGTGATGTGTCATTTATCTTTTGCTAGTTTTAAGATTTTTATTTATTTTTGGCTTTCAGCAGATTGACTATGATATGTATTTCTTTTGTTTATCCTATTTGGGGTTTGTGGTACTTCTTGGATGTGTCAGTTAACATCACCAATGTGGGAAGTTTTTGACCATTATTTTTTCATATATTTTTGCTGCCTCTTTTTCTTCTTTTTCCAGGGGCCCAATTTGCACATACAAAGAGATATTTGGTATACCACAGATATCTGATACTCTGCTCATTATTCATCAATATTTTTCTCTGTTCTTCAGATGGGACAATTTCTATTGATCTACTTTCAAATTCACTGATTCTGGTGTTGAACTCATCTAGTGAATTTTTCATTTCAATTATTAAGCTTTCAACTTTACAATTTTCATTTGGTTCTTTTTATAGTTTCTGTTTCTCTGTTTAGATTACCTGTTTACTCATTCTGAACATATTTCCTTTAATTCACTGAATATATTCATAACTGCTTTGAAATCGAATTGCTAAATTCAATATGCAGTTCCATTCAAAGTTAGTTGTTTTTTTTCCTTAGAACACTGTAACACTTTTCTGTTTCTTTGCAGGTCTAATAATTTTTAATTGAAAACTTGACATTGTATAGAATATGTTATAGATTCTGTTTTGTTCTGAGAGTTGTTGCTTTTTGTTTTAGTAGGCAATTACTTGCCCTGGACCCAAGCTGTGAAATCAGTCTTCACCACAGTAGGTAGCCTTTGATGTCTCTGCTTGTGTTTGTTTTTCAAATCCTGGCTCTCTAGGTTTCCTCACTGTACTGGCATTGTTTGGCAGACAACCAATAGTGTAAGTACAGTATGTTTGGACACCTTAAACCAGTAATGCTTTTATGTAACCTTGATGCATAAGCTGTGTGTGGATTGAGGATAGTATTCCAAAGAACAGCAAATTCATAATTTCCTCTAGACTTTTAATTTTTGGTAGGCTCCCTGTGGTCTCCTGTGTGAATGTGTAGTTTATCAGTCAGTCAGGGATGTCTGTAGTTTATCATCTCAGCCCTTCTATAACTGTCTCACTTCCAGATTCCCCCTTACATTTCTAGGTGCTTTGCCACTCAACCCAAATGGAATCTACCATCATTGTCCAATAAATCTACAAGATTTTCATCACCGGAGCTGGAGGGATAGCAATGCAGTCCAGAAAAGAATGCCATAAGCTTACAGTTCTTACCCGATTTAGCAGCAGTTTTTCATGAAGAAACACTTCTGAAGTAGTTGCCTGCACATAGTTACTTTTTAGTGCTCGGAAATGTTTGATTTTAATAATTATTAATAATAGACTTGCTACCTGTGGAGGGGAATTGGCCAACCTCTTCATGCAGTCGTCACCAGAAGTAGGATCTGCCATATTATTTTGAAGCAAATCTCAGAGATCATATCATTTTATTGATGTATATTTCAGTATGTATCTCTAAAACTCAGGGACTCTAGAAATTCACATCACAATTCCATTGTCACATCTAAAACAATAAACATTCAGTGCTTCAATTTCTCACAAATTGTCTCATGAATTCTTTTTAAATGCTATTGCTTGAATCAGGTCCATATATTTTGGTTAATATGTCTTTCAAGTCTCTTTTAATCTAGAACTCTTCCTCCTTCCCCATCATTTTTGTCTTAAGTTCCCTCTCCTTGTCTTTATTGTGTTTGTCTTACAATTTATTTATTGAAAAAACTGGGTTTCTTGTTTTTTGGAATTATTAGTCTGGATTTTGCTGGTTGGATCTGTGTTGTTGTTTAATATATGCCCTGCATTTCATGTAAAATCTACTTTAGGTTATATTTATTGTTTTTTGGTGAAATTCCTCATAGGTGGTATTATGTACTTCCTTTAGAAGGCACATAATGATGGTTGTCTCACTTTCTGTGATATGAACAGCCTTTGATGATCATTGCCTAAATCTTTTAATTCATGAGGTGACAGAATGTTGACATTCTTTTATTCCTTCTGATTCATTTGCTGACACCTTCAAAAACCTTTTCATGATCAACAGTTTGGTTCCTTAAGGTACAATTTTTAAAAGAAAGACAGGATACTTAATTCTTTCACTTTACTTTCCAATTTTCAGAATAATTAGCTCTTTAGCATCCTTCAAAAAGATGCTTGTAACTTTACCCTCATCAGTTATAAATTTTAGGATTTTAACTAGTATTTTAAGTTTCTTTACGAATCTGTATTTGTGCTTAGCGCGTATGAAATTTGAGGCACTAATCATATGATCCATTATGTAATCCTTTCCTTTCATTGTCACTTCCTTTCTGTATTTCAAATGTTTCTCCCTATTCCCTCAATCTTTCTACAACTACCACCAAATCAACATATCCCAATTGCTTCTTGTTAAGAATCCACATTATTTTACCTTTGATGAGATAGTTTTTAGCCTTTTCTTACTGAAAGTCATTTTCTATTCTTTCAAACTGCTGGTTTTCTATCACCAATCCAAAAAATAGCATGCAAGCCTTAATTTTGAATTGCACCACTCAGTAATGAAATTTGGTATTCTATATTCAAATGGTTGCTCTAGTTCCTCATAAATCTCAATTTGTGGTAGATATCAGGTTTGGGCTACTATTGATATTTCATGCTGAAATATTGGTTACTGATTTTGAAAAATATTTTCAAGAATATTAAATATATTCATAAGTAGTCAAAATCACTCAATTTTTGACTCAGCATTTCTTAAAATGCTGAGAAAACAAAAATGAGTTGTCAAATAATAAAACTTCATAGAAGTCTTTAAAAGCTATTAAAATCACCTCATATAAGCAGTTAAAAGAACGTTTTTGTAAATATAAAGTTAAAAGGAAAAAAAAAAGAAATGCAGGTAGATTGGCTGTTGGTAGGTTGTTTAGAGTACTTATTGCACCCATCTCCTGATTAGCCTACATTGATAACACAACTCCTGTTCCAAGTTCAAATTCTTGGAACCAGAATGTAATTGGTTTAACTTAGTTCAGATATTCATTGCCTGATTAGTCTGATGTGGCTGGGTCTCCTGATATATTAGGATGACTTAGGACAGTGGGTTTGAGTTCCTTCCTTCAGAATATTGGATGGGTGAGCACAGCGATTGCTATGTCTTCTACACCTGCCAAAATACACGTTATAAATGGTAAAAAGGATTCTAAACTTGGATTTTATCTAAACTTCATGCTTTTAACTATTTTGCTGTATTGTTTGTTTGAAGATGTATCATCACAGAGCACTACTAAGGTTGTTTCACTGAGCCACGACTTTTGAGATGGTGGTATTGTGAGATGCATGGGAGAGTTTCTTAAATAAATTATATAGTTAAGTCAACTTGTCAAATATGAGTTTAGAAAATTCTGTCTATACCTTCAAATGTTATGTTTATTTAAAAAATTGATCTTACCAATATGGAATTGTATTTTCTTTCTTTCCCCAATAGGCCAAAAATAAGTTTAATGCAAAGCAAGCAAAACAAGCAGAATTAGAGTATTGGCGACATACTGAAGCTCTTGTGGCTGAAAAGGAGAAAGAATTTCAGGATTATGCCAGAGAAGTAATTGAGCAGGAGTTTGATTCAACAAATAAATATATTTATCCTCTTGTAAAAGCTGCACAGGAAGGACCTGGAGGTGGTCGTGGACCAGTTTTTATGGACAGAGGTGGATTAAGACCCAGCTATCAGGCACATGATGCTACTGGTGTCCAGCTCCCTTTCTGTAACTCCCAGGGGCCAAAGTGTAATTTTCAAAAGTCTAAGGGAAGGCTAGGTTTTACGTGGTAGAAAAGGTTTATTTTTAAGATTGAGAGACTAAAGTTGTAGCTAATGTTATGAGCTACAAATGTAAGTGAATTATATGCTTATAATTTCTGTTAATAAAACTGCTCATCTAAGTACAATTATGTCTGATCTTCACCACCCAAGGTTAACTCATTCTAAGATTTTGATAAAATACCAACATAATGTGTATTTCAGCCACTTAAAAATGTTTTCCTTGGCATCTATATTCATAGCATTGTGTAACCATTACCATTACCTGGTTCCAGAACTTCTTCACTGCTCCACGTGGAAACCTTGTCCCGAAGCACTCACTCCCCATCCCATCCCCCTGACCCCTGGTAACCATAATCTTCTTTGTCTCTATGGATTTGCCTATTTTGGACATTTTATATAAATGGAATCATACTGTGGCCTTGTTTCTGGCTTATTTCATTTAGCATAGTTTCAAGGTTCATACATGTACCATTATCAGTGGTACATGCATAATTTTTTTTATAGCTGAATATTCCATTGGAAGTATTTCTTTTCCCTTAAATTTTAGTTTCAAATAACACTACCAATATTATTACTAACGATTACTACTGAACGAAATTTATGACTTCTCTGTGGTTTAGAGTGTATCTCCTCCTTAGACATGTGCAAATTACCATGTTTTAAGGTCACTTGAAATAATCTACCTGTAGTTAGGCGACCAACTTGATACACAGGTTCAGGGGCTTTTTATGAATTGTATTGCCCTGCTCCTTTAATTGAAAATTTTTTTATTGTGATAGTTTATCATCTTAATCATTTATAAGTATACAGTTCAGTAGTGTATATTCATACCAATGTGTAACCAATCTCCAGAACTTGGTCATTTTGTAAAACTGAAACTATATATACATTAAACAACACTCCATTTCCCCTGCCCCTCAATTCCTGGGTCCTACCGTTCTACTTTGTTTCTATGAATTTGATCTCTCTAGATACCTCATGAAGTAGAATTGTACACCGTTCTACTTTGTTTCTATGAATTTGATATCTCTAGATACCTCATGAAGTAGAATTGTACAGTATTTGTCTGTGACTGGCTTATTTTACTTAGTATAATGTCCTCTAGGTTCACCTAATGTAGCATGTCAGAATTCCTTTTTTTAAGACTCAATATTACATCATATGTCACTTTAAAAACGGTATTTTAAAATTTAAAAAGATAAAAACTACTTGCCTTTAAGACAATAAAGACATTTTTTTGGGGAAAAAATTGCATCATATGTATATACATTCTTTATCCATTCCTTCACCAGTGGACACTTGGGTTGCTTCCACCTCTTGGCTATGGTGAATGCTGCTGCTATAAACATGGGTGTGCAAATATCTGACACACTGCTTTCAATTCTTTTGGAATATGCTCAAAAGTGAAATTGCTGGATCCTGACAATAGTATTTAAAAATTTTGAGGAACCATCAGTTTTCCATGAGCTGCACCACTTCATATTCCCACCAACGCTGCACATCCTCACCAACACTTATTTTGACAGTGACCATCCTAATGGATAGGAGGTGCAGTCATTGTGGTTTTGATTTGCATTTGCCTAGTTGGTGATGTTGAGCATTTTTCCATGTATCTGTTGGTCATTTGTGTATCATCTCTGGAGAAATGTCTACTCAAGTCTTTTGAGATTTTTCCTTTTTTGTTGAGTTGTAGTTCATTACATATTGTGGATATTAAACCTTAATCAGGTACATGATTTGCAAATTATTTTCTCCCCTACGCTCCAAAAACTGTTACTTTTTCACTGTGCTGTCCTTTGCCTAGTCTTTTTTAAAAAAATAAGCAAATACACACATGCAATTTGTATTTTACTCTTGCACAAAGGATCCTTGCTTTTTTCATTTAATATATCCTAGAAATCACAGCACTGCAGCATATAGACCCATATTCCTTTTCCAACTGGCATAGTATTGTTACATGTGTTTATTCTACCAATGGCATACCAAGAGATATGATTTCCAATCTTCACTGTTACAAATTCCTGCAAATAACATTTCATATTTTCATCAGTGTAACTTTTTAGATTTCTACAAATAGGAATGCTGGGGATAGGTATAAATTACAGACCATCATTCTCTTATAGCAAAAATATCTGATGTCATAATCTTCTCTGGGAATCTGATAAAACTTGGCACTCCTTCAGCATTAGGTGTACCATTTCTCCCCCTCACCCAATATTCTACATGTCATTTCAGGACTTCCACAACAGCCTCGTAGGTTACACAGGACAGTGACTCTCACCCATACCCGAGTGTCATTAGTGTATCTGGAACAAGGATGGCCACCTATACTTTTAAAAAATGGAACAGATGATTCTTCTGTAGGCAAAGCCACAATTCTGAACCAGTTTCAGGGTTTATGCATCCCAGGTTAAACAAACCAATCCTGTGTTGAGTTATGTAGTTAAAAAAAGAACACTACATGCACTGATTCCCAAATTGTGTGCCAAGGTGTTCTAAGGGGCCATAGTGAACTCACAAAGGCACAGCTGGTAGAATATTTTTAAAATTTCAAAACAATATATTTGACATCTCTAGGACACCACAGGTATTACTGGTTTGAGGTAGTTCAGTTTCAATACATTAAATGTGCCATCCCTTCTGATGACATCCTATCTTTGTAAACCTGGATAACTTAGCAGTTGCTGGGGTAAAATGCAAGTATGGCACAAAAATCAATGTATGTACAAGAAAAGAACGTGACAACATTCAATCTGAATAGTTTGAATAGTGCAATAAGTTGTGCACATCTCATAAATAACTAATTGTGGTTAAGAGTGAAATACGAATATTTTATTTTTTCACATGGCTAAATTGTTAGGACATACTTTAGCTATTTGAACTTAACTATTTAATAGAACTGTTATTTATTTTTTTTGGACTAGGGTTGCCACCACATTAAAATTACTGAGATGCAAAGGCATAATGAATTAAGTCTGGGAACCTGTCATATATCCTTTCCTTTAAATTGTTCTAGGGAGTGTATTATTTAGGGGTGATTACTAGTTTTGGATAAAGTTACTTTCACATTACAAATCAGGAAACAAATTTCTACAAAATGGTTATTAATTACATAAATGTTTTATAACCAACTTAGCTGTGAAGGATAACATAAAACACCAAAGACATTACAAGCTCTCCTCCCGTAAACATACAAGTTGTTTTAGTTTCAACTGGGCTGGGGTTTCTACTAGTTAAGCACATTAAAAACAGAAAGGCTATGCAGTTTTAAAATTAATCACAAAACAATTCAGTGAAAAGAACGGCCTAGCACAACAAACTGAAAGCAGTGAAATTACAACTGCTCTGATGTACTCATTTGATAAAAAAAATTAGTGGCAAAGATGTAAACTGGAAACATTTTGGGTATTGGGAGGAGGTTGAGGAAGAAAAAAAGTGTGAAAATTATGAATCAGCACTGAAAATAAAAATGCAGTTTTAGATTAGGAAATGTTCAGGAAAGAAACCTAGAAAGCAATGAAAATAGAAAAAGCAAATTGATACTAAAGTATTTTAATACACAACTTGCACGGTCTATATGAGGAAGCACTCACATTTTACATATTCTTCTGGCTAAATAAAGCATTTAAAAACACTCCATAATTTGAAAGTTTAATAATATTCACCTGTTAATACATACAAACCACGACTTATATTTTCTGTGACTCTCAAGTAGGTGTATTTTCCCTAAATGTCAAATTTAAATAAAAACAAAACTAAACAGAAACCAAAAACCAGTGTCTATGTTTTTACAAGTCAATTAACATTTATATGGCTTTACAATAGTAAATGTTATATTAAAACTGTCAGGCGCAGAATATAATACAGTGTTACCAATGCTGAGAAATTTGGAGGAACTAAAAAGCAAATGGAAGCATTCCAGTAGGTAGTAATGCAAATTCCAAGTGTAACCTTAAAAGTTTGCTGAGGCAAAATCACATTGCAATTTGAAATGAAGCATTATGATTAAACATTTACACTAGAACTTATTCCCAAACATTCTGGAAATTGTCACTGCTGGCTAAATTTTTAAAGAAGCTCAGTATTGTTAAACTCTGCTCAGTTTTTTTCCTAATACAAATTCTATATCCCCATGGGTAAAATAAAAGCATATTTTAGTTGATTTATCTTCATTATTTAGCTCTTAATAAAAATAAAGGTTGAATAACTAATACAACAATTTTTAAAATACAAAACAAACTGTTTATTATAGTTAGTTTATTTAATACAATGTTTAACTATAAAAATTGATACAGTTTCAGAGTTTAAATTCTGTAAAATGCAGTTTGCAGAAAACAGTTTAAGTTACTAGACTGATAAGATAAGCAGCATTTTGAAACTAATTTTGTAATTGTGACAACAGCTTTATTCCTAAATTTCATTAAAAAAATATACATCACAGTGACTTTGAGCTAGGAAAAGAAGTGCATTAACTTCATTTGTTTTCCCTTCAACAAAGATAGCAGCCACAACTTTTAACATCCCCTCATACAAATACCCAATTCGCTTATCAATCCTTCAAAATACTATAAACATACAAAGGGGAACAAAATATACGGCATGTGCTTTTGGTAAGCATAGGAATTTGCTTTAAGAACACAAATCACCCCACCACTCCCTCCTCTACCTAAATACAAACAAAACCCTCAAAAACTCCCTTCTCCAGTTTTGCTGATAGAATTTTATATATGTGGTCTTTCTTTTCCTTTACTAGTCACTTCTTGTGTAACACCATAGGCCAGAGTTTGCATTTGCCTGAATCCTTTACAGGCAGTTGGGAAGCCCACTATGGGCAGGTGTTAGCCAATGCTGCACTTCCTGGAGTTCAAACAAGTATTTGTAACAAAACACATCTTTCCACATCTAACAGGTTATAAGCCTACAGTCCTTGGAGGCTTCATTCAACTGTAAATGTATGAATACTAAACTGAATAATTATAGTAAATAAGACAAAGAAGAGATAGAAAAATACCCATTTTTGTTTCTTTATAACCATCAACTATATGGTGTATATTTAAAGTACTTTCTGGTGGTAAAGAGAACATGTTTCTATAGAAATTTACTATTAAAGGTTCAAAGTTGATGGAAAAAATTGCCACCCAGAGTGAAGCACAATGAACTACTTACTAAAAAACATGCTAACTTGTTCCATATACTAACTTGAAAACAAATTTTAAAATTGTCAGTAAATACCACTACTCAGAATACTACAAACCCAATGTGCTCCCGTCTATATTAGGAAGCTTTTACATTTCAGTTTCCTATCATCTACTGGGTACAAGAATCAAAGGCCACTCAGAAAAGCCAATATGAATCAGTATCACCCTTGTAAAACACATTTATCAGTCAAACTCTCAGAAACTTCTGCCAGGGCTTTAAGGAACTTAGAAATTACAATGGTCTTTGTATGAACTCTAACTATAATTAAAAAATGTTTTAAACCCAGCATCTTCTTTACTGCTCATTAATGTCTGTGTTGTGCCCATTTCTGTGGCAGATGGTTTACAAAAACAAAACAAAACAAAACCAAAAAAGCATTCATGTTAATCATGAAAAAATTTCTCAGATATTGCCAATTCAGCAATAAAGACAAACCAATTAAAATACCTTTAAGAAGATATTAAGTCAAAGATACTTTGAGGTAAACTGTAAGCATGAACATAACTATAACATCAATTTGACAAGAAGGAATTAATTGGTTGAGTTTTAGGAAAACAGAGTATGTCCAAGTATTAACTAAAGGTGGTACAACTATTAAAAATGTAATGGAAGGAAACGACTGTTTGAGCTGTGTGCTATCCAGACGCAAAGGCAGACTTGAGCTACAGTTAATACTGTTAATCATTTTCAAAATGTTCTTTATATTCTGAATATAAAATCTAGCTGATTGTCATCTCTCATCTTAACTCCTTTACCATTCATTATCTGTTCTATTGTAAAAACTAACAAAGCTTTTTTAAAAAAGCCCTATAAATAATGTTCTGCATGGAGTTGCTCTTTTGATAAACCAAACAAAATATTATTTATAGAAATTACTAAAATTTCCCCCCTATAGTTACTTGCCTATAATTCTTAGTAGATAAAGCTCTGGGATCAGACAACATAGAAGTATTTTTACTTAGCATGGGTCTTTCTTTTTAAATGTTAATTATTAGAAATCCTTTCTTAATAGCATCTTTCTTGAAGCTCAAATAATTTAAAATAGATTTTTAAAATGCAACTTACTGAATTTGAAGCAAATAACTAATTTAAAATATATAACAGATTATAAAGTTAGGGCATTTAAGATTCAGTTATTCCTAAAGTGGGTTTGTGGTCAAAGCTAAGGAATCAAATACCCTGGATTATCATAAATAACTTACTTTTATGATTAGGAAAAAAGTTTTTCTGGAAAGACTCCACTTTGGATATTTGTTTCAAGATATTCCAAACAATCTTATAATCATTACCCTATTCATTATGCAAACAGCTACCACAATGCCAATGTATCATTATTATATTAATCAATAATGGGAAATATTATGTTAAGCATTACTTTGCTCAGTACAAATAGCATTGAATAAGCTATTGGATTTACCAAGAAGCTATCGTGGTAATAGACACTATATTGACAAATATTAAAGTACAAAATACTCTAGAAGCTACTATTAATTGGAATTCTGAAATTTCTTTTCAAATGAGGCAGGTTTTCTGTTTGCTGGATGTTCAATATTTTATTTAGAAGAGAAATTACAGAATAAAAGGCCACACATCACAAAAATAGCAATATACAACACATAAAATTCTAAATGGACTTTAGATATCTTTAGTGTTTAACTCTGTAAGCTATCAAATTTTGCAACTTTCTACTATATGTGGCAATATTTGCCAAGTTAAAATAATGTTAACAGTAATGGTATAAAGCCACCTGAATAGAAAGAAACCCGAGTCATAAACATGCTATAGCCTATTGTGATACAGATATAGAAAAGATGCATTGTCTTGCCATTTGAAACTCACAGCTCTGGGTGTTAATCAGTTCAAGTTAAAAATAAAAAAACAAACGAACAACCATGCAGAATTAACATTCAATTCTATATAGGTTAGTGGCCAAAAAGAGAAATCTTGTAAGTTAATGTGTCAATATGAACAATTTTTAGAATCTAACTTAAAGAGTTGCATAAGTGGTATGTTTTAGTGAGAAAAGTACTTTTTTTTTCATTTTGGAGGAGGTTAACTAACAATAAAACAATGGTCTCAAAAAGCAAAAGTTTCATCTCTTCACACCAAAAGCAACGTAGGTTGAGAATTACAATCTGATCTTCCATGGTACAGTTCTCATCAGATGCTGTATAACAGCAAGTCAACCTCAATCAGTACATCAACTGAAAAAAAATATTCAACTATTTTTATGGACAGTTAGTAACACAAAACTATATAGGAAAAATATTAATATAAAATAAGCTGCAGATGGAACCATAAAGAGAACATGAAGTACAATATAAATAACTAAGTATCTATTTTAAAGCACAAATTACTATAAAATTGAAAGTGATGACTTAAGATCTCGTTACTAGGATCCTGCTTCTGTGTAATTAAAAGCTGCTGCTGCAAGCCTCTATTATAAATGCAATCAGAAAATCTTTACAAGACTTCATCTATCTAGTGGCTTCTAAAGTTACTTTAATCACGATGAACACAAGCTTTTGTAACAATGTATTCCAACAATCAGTTATACTGATTTCTAACTGGCTGATCACACAAATTAAGGTATAGAATGGCATGTTTGCTATTGGCTGATTGTTGCAATACAAAACTGCATACATGAAATAGTTAAACACAGCACACAGTATTACACCAAAGTGTTTTTCTCATTTCAAGTTTATTAAAACTTTAGCAGTACAAATTATCCAGGTTGCAGATTATCAAAAGATCAACTCAATAAAGTCCACGTTTAAAAAAAAAAAAAAAAGACAAACATAAAACAACCCAAAAACAATGAAAAGAGGAAAACAACATAAAGGAGATTCATCAGCAAGTCTCTAAAACTTAAAATTTGAGACAGAATGGAAATAAGAAATTTACACAACTCACTCATCCACTTTTGTCTTCATCTGTTCCAGGGCTTGATTCATGATCAAATTTTTTATTTTTATCATGTACATGGTCGTTTTCTTGACCCTTTGATTTTTGGTTTTCTTTTTCCACTGAGGATATGGTTTTCTCATCCTCCTTATTTTTCAATGCGGAAAATTTTAATTCACTGTCCTGACTATTTTGTTTTATTTTTGAGAATGGACTTTGATCTCTATCAGCCTTTTTTTCCTTATTATTTGAGCTATTATGATCACGACTTTTAGAGTACATTCTCTTCTCACCCTCAGAATTTTCTTTTCTGTGTGAACTCTTACTTTCTTGGTTCCTATATTTTTCTTTGTTTCTGCTTTGACTTTCTTCTCTCTCTGAGCTCCGTGAATCTCTCCTTCTCCTCCTCCTATCTTTACTTCTTGATCTTCCTGGTGTCGCTCTTCTGTCTCGGCTCCGTGTCCTTCCTCTTCTCCTGTATTCCTGTTCTCTGTATCTATGGTAGTCCTTGCTTCTGCTGCGATCGCGGTCATGGCTTCTGGATCGCACTCTTCTGCTCCTGTCCCGACTTCTGCTTCGTTCCCTTGTTCTACTATTGTAACTGTGTTTGCCTTTAGTTATATCACGTTCTCTACTCCTAGACTGTGCTCGTCTATCCTTTTCCTTACTTTTATTATGATCATGCTCCTCACTTTTCGATTCTAATTGTTTAGACTTCTCTTTACTTCTACTCCTTTCCCGATCTTTTCCTTTAGAATCAGGCTTTTCTTTTTCTTTAACATTCTCATGATCCCTTTCTTTACTCCTTGATCTCATCCTCTTTTCTTCATGTCTATTATGCTTTGTATCTCTTTCCTTACTCTTGGATTTCTCCTTGCTTTTACTCCTACTTTTAGATTTGGCCCTTTTCTTCACTTTGTTTTTATTATACTTATCATCTTTTTCTGAATTTCTTCTGATGTCTCTCTCTTTGCTGTTAGATTTATGGTCTTTAACTTTCTTTTCCTTTTCACTTTTTCTATTTGGGCTCTCAGACACATGCCTGTGATCAGTGATTTTTTTCTCTTTTACTCTAATTGGACTTCTTTGATTTTCTTTTACTTCATTTAACTCACTCCTGAAAAGTAAGAAAAAAAGGTTTTTTTAAAATTTTATTAGGAAAAGACTGATGTCCATTATTAGCTAAAATGATATTCTATTTTCCTTAAGATATTCACAAACAATTGAAATGGCTATAAATAACTTAATGTACAACAGTAAAAAAATACTTATCACTACATTTGAAATAATATAGTTAAATCTTACTTATCCCCTTTGATCCATCTTTCACCACTTGATACCCTCATTCTTTGAGCTCTCTGCATCTCTTGCCTCCAATGTGGAGGAGTCTCACTACGTCTGAAACGATCCCTTGATCTGGATCTAGATGGAGTTCGATAACGCTGAAGAAAATAAAAAGGAGAAAAATTAACATGGAAAAATATAAAAGCATTACAATAGCTAAAGTGTACATATTTCTAGGTTCAAATAAAATGTCTGATATTTCTATGCCCTCTAAAATATCTAAAATTTTCCAATTTTCAGGTAGGAAATCAATGCGGCAAAAATACTTTAAATAGAAATACTGTTAGGTCCCGAGAAGAAGCATTAACCACAGAAATTCTAGCCTCCCAAGTCTTCTCCATGGAACTGTGCTATTTAAGTAATGCTAGAGCATAATAGGTACAGGAACCCTTATAAACTGCCAAATTGCAATTTGGACACATGTATTCTTAATTTTTCAAAGCCAACATTTCCCATATTATAAGAAAAACTGAATAAATGTATAGATGTTCATTTATTCAACCAATATTTACTCAGCTCTTGGGATGGCCAACCACTCTACCAAATACTGAGGAAACATTAGTGAGCCAAGACACATGAGACTCTGCTCTCTTAGAACTTATATTCTACAAGGCTAGAACACATACATAGACATATAACCATAGATATTAAGCATATATATAGTTATGATTAGAATGAATGTAAAAGGAGAAGTAAAAGGCACTCAGAGAATGTATAACAGAGATTTGACCTAGTATAGGGAAAAGGTGTAAAAATTAAATGATAATTAAAAGCTGAGAACTAAAGAATATGTATGAAGAGTTACCTAAGCAAGAGTAAAGAAAGAAGTATAAGGGAGTGAGGATAGATGGCTGAGGAAGAACATGTAAGGCATAGCAAATACTATGTTTGAAGTCCTGAGACAGGAATAAATAGCATGTTTCCAAGATCATCAGATGATAGATCTGTATGGCTAACGACAAAAACTGCAAGGGAAAGTACAACAGTACTAGATAATCTGATGCAGTAAGCCAAGGACTAGATTTTATAAGGTCTTATAGGTCAACGTAACAATTTTGGATTTATCCTAAGGTACATGGAAAAGGAGTGACATAATCAGATTTTTATTATTAAATGATTGTTCTGGATACTGTTTAGAGGAAGGATCAGATCAGTGATTCTCAAAGTGTGATCTAGGGATGCCAAGACTGAGAGGATCTGTGAGGTGAAAATCATTCTCACAATATCACATTATTTGCCCTTTTTGCTTTCATTCTTTCATTATCGATCAGTGGAGTTTTTCAGAGACAACCTGACATGTTTTGATGTCTTTGCTTTCATAGCTAATGGAATATGTGCTTACATACCCTTGTGTTTGAAATATTTCTCAGTTTTAATTTTTAAAAGAGTAAATATTGATATAATCCACATCAACAAAAGACCTTTTGGATCCTCAATCTTTTTTTTTTAAAACGATTTTATTGGGTAATTGGGGGAGGGAACAGCATTGGGGAATCAGAACAGACAAGTTGCTGTTCTTTTGTTCTTCAGTCTAGCTGTGGAGGACGTCGCTTCACTGGCCCATGTTGGTATTGTGATCACTGTGCTCTTCCCGGCTGAGGCAGATGGGTCGCTGGCCACTGGATGGTCGCTCATGGCAGTTCACAGCAGCTCACGCCGGCTGCCGGCCGCTCATGCTGGCTGGCCACTCACAGTAGTTTACGGCAGCCCGCTGCAGCCTACACCGTCGCTGGCAACTCATGGCAGCCCAAGTTGAGCTGTTGTTCACCATCTTAGCCGTAGAGGGCGCAGCATTACTGGCCCATATGGGATCCGAACTGGTGGCCCTGGTGCTCAGAGCTCGCGCTCCCAAGCCAACTCTTAACCAACAAGCCACTCGGCCGGCCCTCCTCAATCACTTTTAAGTGTAAAGAGATTCCAAGACAAAAATGTTTGAGAACTGCCAGGAGGACAGTTAGAAAGCTATTTATAGTTCTGAGGCTATATAATAAACTGAATTACGATGGCAGGAGTGGAGCTTAAGAAGTAGATGAATTTCAGAGTAATTAGGAGGTTGAACTGACATGACATGGTAATGAATAAGATACAGAAGGTAGAGGGTCGGCTGAGTGGCTCGTTTGTTAAGATTTGGCTTGGGAATGCGAGCTCTGAGCAGCAGGGCCACTGGTTCGGATCCCACATGGGCCAGTGACGTTGCGCCCTCTACAGCTAAGATGATGAAAAACAGCTTGACCTGGAGCTGGGCTGCCATGAGTCGACGGCGTAGGCTGCGGTGGGCTGCCGTAAGCTGCTGTGAATGGCCGTCCAATGGCCAGTGACCGATCTGCCTCAGCTGGGAAGAGTAGAATGATCACAATACCAACATGGGCCAGTGAAGCGACATCCTCCACAACTAGACTGAAGAGCAAAAGGACAGCAACTTGCCTGTTCCCCTTCCCCGATTCCAACACTGTTCCCTCCCCAAATCCCCAATAAACAAATCTTAAAAAAAAAAAAAAAAAGATGTAGAAGGTAGAAAAAATTATTCTTGGGCTTCAGATTTAAAATTGCACAGATGGTAGTGTCTGCCACTGAGACCAGGAATCTAAAGGAGGGATCAGGTCTGAAGAGAAAGTGCTTATGTTCAACATTGTATATGCTGAGTTTGAGGCAGCCAATTAGTGACAGGAGCAGATGAAAATTTGAGTTACAAGCATAATGGCAACCACTAAAGCCATGTGAGTGATGAGATTGCCCAGGAAGCATGTGTAGAATGAAAATAGTTGGAACCTTGAGGTACTACAATATTTAAAGGTGAGGTAGAAGAGTAAGAACTGACATTGGAAATTCAAGCTAGAAATAGGAAGAAAATATGATGGAAGCAAAGCTCAAAGAGTATTACAAGGAAGGAGATTAACTAAGACAAAGACTGAAAGGATCCATTCAATTTTGTGACACATAGCTGACAACATGGCAAGTGCTGTTTTCAGCAGACTGGTAGAAGACAAACTGAAATGACTGGCGAAGGAAGTAAAGAAATATTGGGTTGTCGGAAAAGTCATAGCATATTTTTTCTGTTTTTTGTTGCAAAAACGCGTCATGACTTTTCTGACAACCCAATAATATACTAAGAATAGCCAAGTTTCTAAGTTTTGAAAACACAGTAGATATTTAAATTCTGATGGGGAAAATCTAGTAAAGAGAAAGACGATAAAATACAAGAATAGGTTTAATTTTTATCACGTGTAGAAATGTAGGAAGTAACAAGGGGACACAAGAAAGACCTTGCTTTCATTTTATACTAAGTATGCATACATGTAAAATCCATTAACATCCCATGGATTTTTAGTTCGAAAGTAATTAACAGAAAGTTACTATAAAAAAAGAACATATAATTCAATATCCACATCTGTTCTAAGTTATAGCTACTTAACATGTAAAACAATATTTAAGGAACACTAAGATTATTTAAGATAAATACGAGGTCCAACAATTAAGTTCATGAACTTGTTGCAACGATGTTGCTACCATTCTTTTTTGCTATCAGAGGGGTTATTCATTATGAATTTATACCCACTGGACAAACAGTTAACCAAGTTGATTATTTGGAAGTGCTGAAAAGGCTATGGGAAAAAATTAGACGGCCTGAACTTTTCACCAACAATTCATGGCTCCTGCATCACGACAATGCACCAGCTCACATGGCACTGTCTGTGAG